GTTGGAATAGGACCGAGCTGAATCGGGGCCGAGTATGTTAGGGCTGAGCCGACACTTATTCAAATCAAATACATATAATTAGACAATATATCAATAAACTAAAGTGTACCATACCCCTAGATCTACAACTGTCGGCTGGCTGGTCAGCTAAAGCAAAATTAAGAAACGATAGGTTGAGCTACATAACGCCCATTTCTTAAAACAGACTGACATGGCCTACAGTACCTGTAAGTATTCATAAAAACTAACATACTTTCACCATTGCTTGGAACTACCACATTCTAATTCAAAATATCAAAACAAGCTTACCTCGATCAAAGCTCTTCGATTTTCCAGGATTTTCCATCAACTCGACATCGGGAACGAACGGTTTCGAAAGACTGCCACTGATTTGGACATTATTTCATCCACACGATACGTTGTCACAGATAAATAAAAGTAGATATCGAAGAAAATAGCTTTAGGCTCATGAATAAAAAGAAGAACTACACTTTGATTAATTAATGAGCTTCTAAACGAGGTTTACACACAATTGTGCCAGAAAGAAGTTCACCAGGCAAATTGCAAAGCCAAATATTTGTTTTGTTTGGTTTCACATCACGTAATCACAGTAAAGGACATATGGAAACTTTTAAGCTTTACTAGTGCTTTATTTCAGACATACAGACACTTCTCCCTCTTGATTGTTTTCTATTTTTTTACATTAAATTTATTTACAAAGTTACAGGAAATAATTATCAAATTGTATTATGTTATTATTTGTAAACAAAATGCTAAAAGTTTGTCAAGATCTAAATATCATATACTTCTTAATAGGTCACAAAGACAGTACATTGATTGGGTCGCAAAAAAAATTATTTTGGCGTTTAACCTGTGTAATAATTTAGTAAAAAATCACATTTTCCGGCGTTACCGCGTGGTACAATTCACATTTTACGGTATTAATGTATGCATTGTTGTACTAATAAAAGTCGAAAAAACAAGATCACGCTCAAAGCGGTGGTTAAGCCATCATTTTCACGAATGATCTTGAAAAGTAAACAATTTTGTGGAAATAAACTTGATGAGGAATAAAGAATAATGTCTTTGCAGCAGTATGCGGCTATTTTTTTTCCTTTTGGTTAAATAAAAAACTTAATGTGCCAGTTTACCTTCTGCATTGGACATCCTGTCAGATATCAACCATTTATTGCATAATTCTGCGTTACTTTTTGCACGAATCGTGCATTATCTTCACATTCCGGCGTTACTGGATATACACAGTGCAAACTATCTAAATAATCCTGGTTCGAATTATTTTCATCATAATGTAAAAAGAATATATTTATGCACATGTGTATGTAGCAGTGTTACAATTCACACTTGAGATATCCCAAGAACACTTCTTTTTGTTTCATAGTTGAACTTGCCTTCCTGTAATTCCTTTAGATCAACAAAACGACGAGCATAACAAAAGGCGATCGTTAATGGTCGAATCTTACTTTATGAAATACGTCAAGAATCCATATGGCTAGCTGGCGGGAACAGACAAGCTACAGGGCAACAAGGTTCGTGACTTCTTCTTTTATTTCATCTTTTATTAAGTGACAACAAGAGCCATGTTAACATGACCATCCCCCGCCGAATGTGTATGCTCATTGGAAGAATGTATATGTAGTAAAGCAGAAGAATAATTCGATTTATTTTTAGAGGTATTTTGGTAATGAAAACTGATGGCTGAAGTGATTACAGATTTGAAACCTTTGTGAATACTGATGGCTAAAAATAACAAAGGGCAATGACTGAAAAATAATGCAGAGTAAGTTATCATTCTTGTGTGCTGCACCCCTCTCAATGAGATCTATCCATCTATGAAGTCTCAAGTTGATACCTTCAACACTTTTTTAAGATAAGCTCCGGACAAAAGTATGAAAAATAACAAAGGAAAATAACTCAGCAAGAGGGCCATGATGGCCCTGAAGTCGCTCACCTGTATATAGCCCGCTGGAGCGGGGCCAGTTTAAACCCCAAGGCTTTTATTTGAACAAACTTGGTAGACACCCATTAGAAGTTGTTTCATGCTAAACATCTAAGGTCTAGCTCGTTGGGTTTTTTACAAGAAGATTTTTTCAAGTTTTTTCTTTACACATATAGATAAAAACAATGACACACCTGGGGCAGGGCCAGTTTTGACCCAAGGGTTTTATTTGAACAATCTTTGTAGACAATTAATAGAAAATGTTTCATGCTTTATATCTAAACTCTAGCTATTCGGGTTTTTCAAAGAAGATTTTTAAGTTTTTGCTATACACATATAAGGAAAATCAATGTCCCCAAGGATGGGGCATATTTTGACCTCAGTGCTTTTATTTGAACAAACTTTGTAGACACTCACTAGAAAATGCTTTGTGCTAAATATCTTAACTCTAAATATTTGATTTTTTTCAAAGAAGATTTTTTAAGTTTTTGTTATACACATATAAGGAAAATGAATGACCCCCGGGCGGGGCCAATTTTGACCCCAGGGCTTTTATTTGAACAAACTTGGTAGACACTCACGAAAAGATGTTTCATGCTTAGTTTATAAACTCTAGCTATTTTTTTTTTTTTTTTTTTTTTTTTTTTTTTTTTTTTTTTTTCAAAAAATATTTTTTAAGTTTTTTTTATACACATATAAGGAAAATCAATGACACCCGGGGCGGGGCATATTTTGACCCCATGGCTCAAATTTGAACAAACTTGGTAGATATCCATTAGAACATGTTACATGCTAAATATCTTATCTTTAGCTCTTTCGGTTCTTTAAAAGAAGATTTTTAAGTTTTTTTGCTATATGCATATAGGGAAAATCAATGGCCCCCTGGGGCCGGGTCAATTTTGACCCCAGGGCTTTTATTTGAACAAACTTGGTAGACACCCATTAGAAGATGTTTCATGCTAAATATTTAAGCTCTAGCTCTTTGGGTTCTTTAAAAGAAGATTTTTTAAGTTTTTACAATATGCATATAGGGAAATCAATGACCCCCTGGGGTGGGGCCAATTTTAACCCTAGGGCTTTTATTTGAACAAACTTGGTAGACACCCATTAGAAGATGTTTCATGCTAAATATTTAAGATCTAGCTCTTTGGGTTCTTTAAAAGAAGATGTTTTAAGTTTTTACTATATGCATATAGGGAAATCAATGACCCCCTGGGGTGGAACCAATTTTAACCCTAGGGCTTTTAAACTTGGTAGACACTCACTAAAAGATATTTCATGCCAAATATCTAAGCTCTACCTGTTTTGGTTTCTTAGAAGAAGATATTAAAAGTTTTTCTTTTGGTTGCCATGGCAACCAGAGTTCTGCATAGAATTAAATTCTTTGTACAATTTTCAAAGGTGACCACCAAAGGATCATTCCTGTGAAGTTTGGATGAAATTGGCTTAGCGGTTTATGAGGAGATGTCAAAGTTTACAGACGACGGACGGACGACGGACGGACGCCGGACGAAAAGCGATCACAAAAGCTCACCCTGTCACTTTGTGACAGGTGAGCTAAAAATTATAAAGGGTATAGTTATCATTTTGCGCACAGCATTCCCCCTATGAAGTTTCATGTTGACATCTCAAAGACTTATCCTCTGGACAAAAGAATATGTTTGAAAAATAGCAAAGGGCAATAACTGAAAAAATATGCAGGAAAGTGTAATCATTCTTGTGTGCTGCACTCCACCTCAATATGGTCTATCTACCTATGAAGTTTCAAGTTAATACCTCAAATACTTTTGCAGATATATGCTCCGGACAAAAATGTGAGACGGATGGACGGACGGAAGGACAGACGACGAGACTTTTTCTATATCACCCGCCGCCTATTCGGCGGGGGATAATAAATTCAAGTATGTAGTTCTCAATCGGCAATATGTTATCTTTGTGTGCGCCATTTTTTTAAGCCAATCACCGACGAGGATTTCCAGGTTTCAAATCTTAATAGAACAGATTTTATATAAACTGGACGTTTTATATTATAAAACGCAAGTGGGCGGAGTACTAAGCCGGTTAGAGTGCATATTGGATGTTCTTCGTAAATAAGAAAGCTACAGTCGCTTCGCAAGCTCCGCTCCTTTTTAGCTTTCTTATTTACGAAGAACACACAATATGCACTCTAACCTTAAATGGCATACGCCTTTAAGCGATTTCTCATTCTTTTTATCTTTGTAACTTAATGGTTCTGAGTAGCTTGCTTATATTAATTTCTTTATTATACGTCAAATATATATAAATTTTGTGATATCTTCATTCTATATTTTAGTCAAGTTATAATAATATGTAATATTACGGTGTCCTATTTCGTTCACAATATTTCGCTAGTTACACGCGATAATTATCGCCTCAAAAGGGCGAAGTTTAGTACTTGATTTCGTTTGTCATCAATTTCGCTAGTCTCTCGAGCTCCTTTTTTTGAGAACAGGTAACATATACTAGCCAAATAAGAGAAATTAGCATCGATAATTATCGGCTTAATTTCCGTATGTTTTATGTTCCTCACGCGATATTTATCGCGTTTAAGGGCGCTAATTATCGCATACATGTGTATTAGAATAGACAAATTTAAATACGCGATTATTATCGCCTCCAAAGAGCGAAATTTAGACTAAATTTTGCTTGTATATATAAAATTTTGCTAGTCTCTCGTGCAATGATTAGCGCCCTTCAACGCGCTAATTATCGTGTGAGGAACACACACCATACAAAAAATAAAATTACACTGTCCGTGTCGTCAAAAATGTAAACAAATAAACTAGCATATGGATAATATACCTTTATCATTATCGCTTTCAATAAACATGCTCTGTTGTTATCCCTAAAAATGAGGTAACTGGAGTGTGGGTAACTAACAAAAAGTGAACCTACCCTTCAGTTTTGACTTTCTTTTAAATTCAACGTCGCATAAGCTGAACATTTATACGGATAAAACTGTTTGTAAAATTTGGAAAAATTGGTAATTTTGGTGTAAGAATAAATTAAAATTTGATAGTTGCATGAATTCGTAAGGATATTTTATTACTTCAAATTGTAGCAATTTAAAACGACGATATGCAAGAACCATTGTTTTCATTCTAAACGCTTACTGCATTTCAATCATGTGATAGTCCAGAAATAAAAGATATAAAAGTGGTTAAATTTTCTATTAGCTTTGATTTTTCTGTGTTAGTTCTATTAACAAGGCTGCTTCAAGATTGCTTGTTGTTGCATTTGACTTCGGAACAACATACAGTGGATATGCTTTTTCATTCCGGGATGACCCTTTGAAAATCCAAAGCAATCAAGGATGGATTGCTGGCAGTGATCAACTCATCTCATTGAAAACACCAACATGCGTTCTTCTAAATCAAAGAAAAGAGTTTGACTCATTTGGTTTTGAAGCTGAAAATAAATTTGCAGACCTTGCCGAAGACAATAAACACCATGGTTGGCTTTTATTTCGTAGGTTCAAAATGATCCTACACAATAACGAGGTATATTTTATCTCATAACAATCACTTCATTTGATAATTTAATTGTATGTGACTATTTGTTATTCCTGTTTAGAGCAGCGCCTAAGCACAACCTGACATGAATATAAACTCTGCTGCTTGAAACTGAAAATATGCGTGTGTATTGCGTAGCTTAATGATAACAAAGACTTTAAGCGTATGTTTGATATATACTGTTTACACATTTATCTAAATATCTTTGTATTTATGCAGAACTTATCAAGGGCAACTACCGTTGAAGATATTAATGGAAAATCTATGCGTGCATTGACTGTCTTTACAATGGCAATTAGATATCTAAAAGACCATTTTCTCGAGGCTCTCAACAAACAGAAGACTGGAATTGAAGACAAAGACATACAATATGTTATTACAGTGCCTGCATTATGGAATGATAAAGCCAAACAGTTTATGCGAGAAGCAGCAGAAAAGGTTTACACATTTTGCAAACAAATATATTATATCAATATCTAACTAAGTATCTTTTTTGAACATTTTAATAGTAAGTAAAACTCAAAGTTAATTCAGAAACCTTCATGAGAAAGCAATTAGAAAACTCTTTAGTCTTAAGGAATAGTTTTCTTCAAAAATATTTACTTTGTTCATTTCTTAAAACATTTCAATATTTCTGATATTTATCAAAAGGCTGGAATAGCAAAGACACAACTAAAGTTGTCATTTGAACCTGAAGCGGCGTCTGTATGGTGCCAGACAATCTCTACAGATATAAAGAAAAGTCTGACTAGATCAGGAAAACAGTACATGGTCATTGACCTTGGAGGTAAGGAAAGAATTTCAATAAAACAATTGCTTTATCAGACAAAGAGCATAACGTACACAGGGTGACTTTCAGCGACAGAGCTTAGTCTGTTTTACTTGCGCTGTGAGTCCTCGACTTTTGTTATTAACTCATGGCATATAACCGCGTTGTCTGTTGGTAAGCTTATAGATAGTCACAATTAGTAGCGGTGCCGGTATTTTTACCCGTAAATCTCTTGTCGACATGAACTTTTTTCTTCATGTTTGTCTATTATTGGGTTAAACGTCACAGCAATACAGTAGACAACTGTCATATGACGACTTTGCAGCTTTACTGGTGGAGGAAGAACTCAGGTGTCCCTTCGTGCATCATTTCATGCACAGAGCAGCGCCAGAGTAGAACCAACGACTTTACGAAAGGCACAGGGAAAGCTTTCTTCAATCTATCAGACCTAATCCATGCAACATAACATTACCAAAATTGTGTTTATTAAATCAATAGTTTGTTAACAGAGAAATTTGAAGCTTTTATACCCGGTGTAATAGAGAGATAGATTAGTGAATACCATGTACTGTCAAGCTAGGTACAAAAATTACCCAAATACCAAATTTACCTTGAAATAATTTTCATATATAAGATTTATCTCTAGGTATTTACAATTACACTATTGAATAATTTGCAAAATAACAAAATATTTATAATGACCTAGAATTCAATTTAAAGGAAGCGCTTGACTGGCGATATTTACGTAAAACCTTTCAAATATTGAGCTCAAAAGCAACGATAAGATGTTTATAATAGAACGGAACGAAGCAAAACTCTAGATGTCATTATTACACGTAATAAATTCTTTACTGTTATTATTTAAATTTTGATGTTCTCCACTATAACCATTTTGGTATTTTTGGTATTTTGCATAGTTTTTAATTTTATGACTTTATGTGCATAAAAGTAAATATTGAAAATTGGAAGGTATGCACACGTATTTGGTGCCTGAAGCCAATAAGTTTGGCAATAGTTGGTCGTTTACTAATTTGTTACTCAATTTTACACTGTCATCATGGCTTTAAAAGAAATATCTTCTTCTCTACAAAATAACTTTTACTTTTTGTGTACATTTCTATGGGTACAAATTTGGAATTCTTGAACACGCATTTTGCTGACACATGAAATGCATTTAATTGGAGAAAAAGAAGAAATATCGACAAAAGAAATTGCCTTCAATATATTGTGCCGCCATTAACATTGACTATATATACCCTTTTGGTATCAACATCTTTAAACTTACATAGTATGTGTCTTGTATAAGGCTTTTCCTAAAATGGTTTCAGTTCATTGTATTTCTGGAGTCCGAACAAGGTTTTAAAAGTACAACATTTGACAATCTTTTTCTACAACCCGTAAATAGCAAGAGCTTAAATAGTTTGTGTAAAGCAATATCTGTTGAGCATTTACTAAATATATTCATCAATCTGGTGTCACGATTTGCCCTGACTCGGGAGTGACTAGATTTTGAACATTTAGTTCTAAAATTCAATGTATACCTCTACAAAAGCGGTTCAAATCGTAGCCCATGTCCCATCCTGACGGTTAATTTATTTAACAAGACCTCGTTCTAGTAAACACTTTCAAGAAAAACCTTTTACATGCATTTTTCGACCTTAAATGTTTGATGTATTTTATTTGAAAGAAAACCATGACCCAGAATGTACAAACATGACACAAGGGTTCAAATTGGCTCTTGGCTCAGACATCTGAAAAAAAATATAGTGTAGAAACCACCGTAAGAACATGATCGTAAAGTCACAACCGACATCGGCCTAGGCCATTTTAGTTGGTCTTATTTATGTCTAATATATATATACATATATATATATATATAATATATATTATATATATAATATATATATATATATATATATATATATATATATATATATATATATATATATATTATATATATATAATATATATATATATATATATATTATATATATATATATATATATATATATATATATATATATAAAAATTTGGAGAAAATAAACGTTCATACAGTGCAAAGTATAAATACCCAAGTACTTTCGGCGTATTATGCCTTCATCGGGGGTGTATTACATGTATAATGTGCACACAATAGAGCACAAAATCTCAATACGTGTGTACTGTTATAGTATCAAAAATTGAACTGAAAACACAGTTCGCTAGAAAGGTGATAAAATTACATCGATTATGAATAGACCGTTATTGAATGGTCCATTGTGTAGTACTTTACAAAAACCTACATATATATATATATATATATATATATATATATATATATATATACACACACACATAGATATGCAGTCCAATTAAGGGGCACAGCGCCAAGCAGAACAGTCATGAAAGCATAGCCACTGCCCATCCACCATCACAAAAATTGATGGTTTCAGAACAGCTTTATATGCAGTCACAAACTGCACTACAGATTAAAACAGGCTCAAAATTCGCATATATAGAGTTTGTTCTCTGTTATCATGTCTCACAAATCCACGCAGGGGAAGTATAACTGTATTGAATTTAATTATCTCTTATCTCTTTAATTATATTTATATTTCATGTAATATTATTGTTTCACTGCTTCCGAAAGATCCAAATTTTATATGGAAACCAAACAATAATCGTCTTCTGCTTAATCATTTAGTTTGGAGTTGTCAATTAAATCTCCCCCGCGTCCTTCAAATCATAATCTGCTCTGTTTAAGATGTCTCTTGATTTCACTCTGAGGATAAAACATTTTCTCCGTAACTTAAATGCCTTGTCTTCGGTATTTGATGTGTAGCATTGTCAAGTTTTGTTCAAATGTTGAAGTAAGCAAAGAAACCATTTATAAAATAGCGCGGTAATAATTAACTTCATAATCATACAAATGAACATATATATTTTTATATAAAGATTATTAGTTTAAAACAGATGTTTGGCAATTACTTTCTTGCAAAGCTCTTTCTCATGGAAATGACGTAGTTTATCATGAAGGCTTTGGGAATATTTCTCCATTCCCGAACAAGGGCTTGCTCGAGTTCCAGAAAATTGCGAGGGGCTACTTGTCGCTTTTCGCACGCATGTTCAGTTCACCCCATATTTGTTCAGGAATGGAGAAATATTCCGAAAGCCTTCATGAAAAACTAGGTCATTTTCACGAGACAGAGGACTGTGTTTTCACGTTGTTATAGTCATGAGAGAACATACAAATTATCAGGACTGGTTAACATACTTATTTAGTGCGATTAAAAGACTGTTCGTTTTGTTACGAATTTTACAGCCATACTGTGATTTTTCATTTTAAAGTAGCCTGTTTGTTTTGTTACTTTTTAGCTCGACTATTCGATAAGAGTAAGTAGAGCTATTGTAGTCACCCGAGCGTCGGCGTCGGCGTTGGTGTCCGCGTCGGCGTAACCACTTATGTTAAAATTTTTGTAATACCTCAAAATATTTTCAAAGTCCATTGACATATGGCTTTGAAACTCTGCACACTTGTTAACCATCATGACCCCAACATGTAGACAGGAGGAAGTAACTGTATTAAGCATTTTGACAGAATTATGCCCCTTTTTCGACTTAGAATTTACGTTAAAGTTTTTGTAATACCTCAAATATTTTCAAAGTCCATTGACATATGACTTTGAAACTTTGCACACTTGTTCATCATCATGACTCCTACCTGAAGACAGGAGTAGGTAACTGTATCAAGCATTTTGACAGAATTATGCCCTTTTTTGACTTAGAATTTACGTTAAAGTTTTTGTTATACCTCAGACAAATGCTTTGAACACTTATTCATCATCATGACCCCAACCTGTAGACAGGAGAAGGTAAATGTATCAAGCATTTTGACAGAATTAAGTTTTTGTAATACCTCAAATATTTTCAGTCCATTGACATATGGCTTTGAATCAGGTTGAAATTTTATAGTCTTATTTGAGAGGATAATAGGACTCTCTCCAAGGCATATATCTGTAATATGGATTGAAAGAAATTTTTTACCCTTTTCTTTACTTAGAAAACTTTACATTATCAAGGCTTTTTTACTGTCAAGCACTAAGAATAGTCGAGCATTGATATTCTACCGACAGCTCTTGTTCTATTTTCTTGTTAATAAATTATAAATAAAATTCTATATAATCAGCATGATATGTTGAGTTTCGTATGGTCCCAATTTGAACAAAATCCGTCCACAAATAAGCATTTAATACAAAAAAATGTAAGTGCCTATGCGTGTACATTGAAGAGCATGTAAACTTTATAAATTAAAAAGTAAATATGCTAGCAATTTGCTTACAGGTGGAACAGCAGATATATCTGTCCATGAAAAGCAAATTGATGACACTTTAAAAGAACTACATAAAGCAAGCGGGGGATCCTGGGGAGGCACAGTTGTTGACGACAATTTCATAGAATGGCTTACAAAAATATTCGGGAAATCTACAATGCAAAGATTTAAAGATGAGCAAATGGAAGACTACTTCCAATTGTTAAGAGCGTTCGAAATAAAAAAGAGAAACATTAAAACCGATACAACGGGGAACATAACGTTCAGATTGCCTGCATCACTGAAGGACCTATATCAAAACTATAATAAGGATGCATTGAAGGACAGAATTGTTGCAATGGGATTATCTGATATTGTAAAATATGACGGCGACAAACTGAGAGTAGGCGCTTCGGTCATTAAGCAATGGTTTGAGCCTCCTATTTACAACGTGATTCAGCATGTACAACAGATTCTTGCAAAACCAAACATGCAAAAAGTCGAAACGATTCTTTTGGTTGGCGGATTTGGGGAGTGCAAATATGCCCAAGACCTTCTAAAGAGAGCAATGCATGACAGGGAAATTTTTATCCCAGAAGAGCCAGGTCTTGTTGTTCTCAAAGGTGCAGTACGTTTTGGTCATTTCCAAGATATTGTTCGCTCGAGAATAATGACCCGCACGTATGGATTTGAAGTGACTCATGATTATGACATGCAGGAATTTCAAAATGCAGATGAAGTGTTTTTTCTCCAGCATCGGAAATTAATTAGTAATGTGTTCGACATAATGATAAGAGTGGGAGAAGAAACAAGTATAGGGAAAACAATTACCAAAGGTCCATACGTACCAATCGGCCTACATAAAACATGTTTTAAAATCTACACCACAGAAAGCGTTGATCCAAAATATGTGACAGATCGAGGTTGCAGACAAATTGGAATGCTCACTGTATCACACTCAAATGGACGATCCCAGAATGACAACGCAGTTATGGCTTCGTTCATATTTGGTGATACGGAACTTTTTGTGAAGGCTGTAAATATAAGAACAAAAGAAGAATTTTTCACTTATATAGACTGTCTATAAAAAAAATGTTTGCATATTTTCTAACTATCCTGTAGGAATAGATTAATGGCATTGATTACTTTTGTCTGTGTTGAAATCACAATAGAATTAATATTGAGAATCAATATAAGATTTGTTATGTATATACACTTTATTTAAAATGTTTTTAATATATATTTCCTGAATAGCTCAGGAGGTAGAATGCAGGATTGTTAATCTCGATGTCGTGGGTTCGATACCGACTCATGCTACTATAATTTTTAATAATTTTGTTTATTTGATGTTTATATAATTTTTCATGTTCATTTTCCCTCAATGCTTGTACTTCGAGGTGTGTTTATTTGTGATATACTGATTGTGTGCTATTTTACTAAGCTAACGTAGAAATATATAAGTTTGGATTCTGTAATTCTGTGTGGAAAGTGTTCTTGACATCTTGTATTTATTCTGCTGTGGACATTGATTACATTTGAGTTGAGGACAATTGAGTTTCGAACTGTGAGTTAAACTTCAGGACATTTGTTAAATTTGAATCGTGGACAATTGTGAGTTAACTTTACTTTCATATTTTTTGTATTATTGTAAATTACTGTTTTTCTTTAAATAAAAATTGTAAATTTGTTGCTGCGTTATCTTCTCTGTTGCGTTTAGCTCGTAACAGATTTTAAAATCTGAATTCCGTGCTTTGTTGTTTGCACTAAAACCTTTTGTAAAAACCATAAAAATTGTACATCACATGTTGAAATAACAATAGACTGTGAGTAACAGTTACTTACAGCTTTGAATTCATAGTTCAAAGCACGTTCTCAATTATGTAATTATGTACTTTTGTATGTCTTTCGGGAAAGGTTAATAATATGTGTTTACCAATTCCAGGCCGCGCCGTTGGTTTTAAAGACTTAAAACATTTATATATAATTTTAACCCACCGCACAATAGAAGAATAAAGACAATTTTTGCAAATTTTATAACTGTCGACACCAATGTTGGCACTGTCATGACCGATAATCAGGACAAAGTTCTGTTGTCATTGCTTAACATTGTTTTGTTTTGAAAATTAAAAACAGAAAAATGGAACCCTAAATACGGCAAATTATGAATGTTCAGATTGATTAAAACGCAGTTGCAAATGAAAAGCAAGGAGAGTGAAAATGCTTAATCGCATTTAGAAGCATCAGAATATGTGTTTCACTTTACTAATGTTAATTATATACATAAATGCCATCACTGGAAGGTTTAAGCTCGCCAATAATTCCTTCAAGGAGACTAGACCAACCATTGGACCATTCATCAACCGTGACTAGACAGACCTATTAAAATTTGAATATGGAAAAAAATAATTCTTTTTCTTTAAGTTTCTTTTTAAGATTTGTTCAAACCGTTTATAAGGTTGCATTTGAAAAAAGAAAAAAAGTCGAACGTCCCCCCGCCTGGCGGGCGGTGGATCTTGTTTAATATAAAAATGTACTGTTTAAACCTAAATTGTCTTTGGGATTCATATGTAATACATATATATTTTTTTCAAAAAAGTACTTTTTTACCGTAAGTATTCTTGTAAATGGGCTTGTTTTGTAACGTTTTGATATTCGTTTTCGTACCTTTACATTTTAATCATTTTTATAACAAATTTTAGCTCTTACTTATCTACTTGTAAGAGGTAAGGGTGTGAAATTATTTACCAAACCAGGGTAAATGACAAAACCAATTGTATTAAAACATATCTCTTAATTTTTTTTCATTGAAAGATTAGAAACAATCTATCTTATAACAATCTATATTTACTGTTAATACTTATGTTGTACTTAGTACATGATATACAAAAATCATTTAATTATCTTTATTTTCAACAAGTAATTTAACAACATAGACTATCAGTTATTTCAGGCATCAACTTTTCCCCAATATTCCATTGCCATGCTTCTGGCAGTCTCGGGGATATTCATCATCGAGTAGGGTACAGCTGTCTTGTAAGAGATGTCATGTCCGTTCAAGTGCACGGTGATGTGTACATTGCTTAATTGCATCTTGCTATTCATTGATGTAGGGTCGTATTGAAGCTAAAATTACAATTATATATAAGTAAATAACCCTTAACATTTTAGATCTATAAACCCTGCAAGGTATGTGAAGATATTGTGAAGAAAAATGTTTATAACAACTATCTAATTAATCATTCCATCATTATTTGCACAAAGCAAGCAAATTTTCACTTTGATTGTGAACATTCAAACATTTTTTTAACATTTGGTGTATCTTCAGCTCTATTATTGTTTGAAAAAGTGGTTATACATCAACATGTGAACACCGTTAAAGAATGCAATACTTTTAACTTTCTTTTTAAATAAGTTATACGTTAAAAAACCAGAACAAAGGTCAATAAGACAGAGGCATGTTCACAGAACGCAGCCCCAATACACTCCAGTCATAACAGCAAGGCACCAAGAAGACACCGAACCATTAAACCATAAAGGCATTAAATCAACAAAAAGAGGTCATGTGATGTTAAGATATTATATGATTTGTGTCCAAAACAAGGGAAACAGACAGCATTGCCAAAATGAAATTGCGATATACAATTAAAGGATCGCAGGATACGTGCCGTGGCAGAACACATTCAGGTAGCCATCTGACGTATAAAACATATAGAAGAATATTTGACTGATGTTTAAGATTTGAAAGAGTATATTGCGTATACATGTATATCCTTTTGTTTTAGGCTTATCGACATTTCACTAGAGTTTTGCATTTTTCTTTAATATCTCAAAAATGTCTTGTTATTGATGGAAGTTTATCAGGGCTGCTAAAGTGAAATGGAGCACTGAGTCTAACTCATAATCCATATTAAATAAATACGAGTATATAATACTTAAATTGTAGTAAATAATGCCGTAAAATTCATTATGATTCAACTCCGAGTAAAAGTAAATAAATAGTTCATTCTAATACTGTCAAAGAGAAGTTATGCAAGCAAATACTTTGACTTTATGAAGAAAAGTACAGATTTTATTAAAAATGAATGATACCAAATTGTGCCTTTTTAATTCAACATTTTCTTTATCTGTTGGTGAACAGACACAATTTTCGCATATTTGAAGTTCACCGAAATTATTATGTAAACCTATATAATAACATTTTGGAATGATGATAGAATCATGTTATATTAAGTCATGATACTGACCTTTGTAATGATGGGATGTGCCTTATCTAGAGCGGCGTCATATACTTTCTGAAGCTTGCTGACCTTGCTAGTCATTGTGGTATTCATTTTGACAATGTCGGCTCCGCATACTACAGTTACAATCATAAATTCAAAATCATTCAAAACGAAAAAGAAAAATATAATACAAAATATGTATTCACCAGGCATTATCATTGTGTCGTATTATACACGGAATTCATATCATCTGCCGACTATAATTATTATAGCTCTTTGACAGCATTGTTGTTATTAACTAACTGTACTCTTCTCTTATTATTGATTACAGGCGATTCTTTTTGCAACATGCAAATTATGGGGATTTAGTTTTTTGCATAAAAGTCAAAATACAATTTTGTTTAAAGTATCGTACTTTTAAGAGTTTAAACAATACTTTCACATTTAGCTTTACTTTCTATAGGTTATATGCATCTTTCGTGCTTCACAATACTCATGTTTGCCTCTAACGTTTCTGAGGCGTCACGTGCATTTTAAGTATATAATACAATACAAAATGCCTATTGTTTTATACAATTATATACTTTGAACATCACTTTTGAAAGGTATCAACCGCGATCGTATTAAACGAGTTATCCGTATCATACAGTATCAATAGGTTTTGAGTTTACTTGAGTTTTTGTTGAATTCAAAAACATGATCAAGACCTACTGACTGTCAAAGTGAAAGCTTTGTAGATAAACATCAACTGGACTGAAGGAATCACGCATCTTTCTAGACAATTAGTATGCATCTTTACAGTGATCATGTCAGTTTGAATAGATTGCAGAAATGTTCAATCATTTAATAAGAATGCCTACCAGCAGTGATCACTTCAGCTTGGGTAGGTAAGAGCAATGGTCTGCAAGAAGCGCATTTTTCCATACAATGTCTTGTCTTTGCGTCGATTTCTCGTTTCTTTCCAAAGATACCTGTAATTTAAAAACGAAACTATTTGAAAACATATAATTAAATAAAAAACAGTAAAATGAACGATATATTGCTTCATCAAGATTAAACAATTGAACGTTATGGAAACAAGTTTCATGATTTCAAAATTAGTAATTTTGATCAGGGTTGTATTCTTACATATCAGACCATTAGTTTTACCGATAACGAAAACTTTATGTGGCATTTTATAAATAAATTGCGTTAAACTGATGCTATTTCGGTGCATTTTTGAATGAAACTGCATGTCTAGGATGACGCTATTTCGTCATAATGAAGGAAGTTTTAAATCCATATTAAGGTTTTGTAAGAAAATAGTTACGGGAGAAATGATATTAATTTTCATGAAAAGTTCTTTAATCAAGGTTAATCATTATATAAAAAATATAATATAATATGATAGAATATGGAAGAAAATAATATCTAGCATGCTTTTGCAGTTCAGATCGCAATATCTGTATATATTATAAATCTAGAAATTTCATATCGCCGATAAGGTAAAATCCTAGGGTATCTAAATTAGAAATAATCATTGACAAGTGTTTCGATGACTTTGACTTTGAGTATTGCCATTTTTACATAGCGTTTTACAGTGTTATAACACTTACATGTAACAAAATCAAAGTCATTCATTAATTCACCTATTTATATGTGTCACATTCTTTTTCTGCTCCCTAATATTGAATTTATTATATTGTTTCTCGTACCTCCAATGGCATGACCTATACTGCTTCCAATATGTTCGATTTCATGACCAGCATTGTTGAGACCGTCCGTCAAACCATGTCCTAAATCTGTAAATCCGTCCCCAAGTAGTCCAGCTGTATCAATTACTGCATTACCAGCATCAGTTAAAGTACTACCCACTTTATCAAGCCCGTCTTTCATTGTACTAAAGGCAGACTATAAATTAATGGTATTATTAGGGTAATGAAATCATATTTATAAATCATATTAAAAAGATAAGCTTTTTCGAATTATTTACTCTTCATTTGAAATTCCAAAAAGTTCTGAAAAGAAAATATTCTTCAAGAGCGATAAACGCAAAGTTAAAAAGTAAAAATGCGAGTATTTTAAGTGACAATGAACCATTTTACATCGCTTATGCCTCTTAGCACCAGCCCAAGCAGTATGTGAACTTTAAACACAGACACGCGTTCAAACATTTATCTCGAAGGGCAAATTTAAGAAAATGTTGAAGCACAAAGATACTTGCCTATGTAAGTTTTAAAACAATAGAAACGCTTTTTAAATATCTGTGGACCGTATGCAAAGATTTGGGACTTTTCAACTTTAAAATGATGTGAAACTTGTTACAAGCGCAAACAAATCAACTTATTGATATAAGTTTATTTAATGTGTCGTCACAAAAAAATAGATAAACACTATAGCTTACTGAGAAACCATCAGCTACCCCTCCTGAGGCAGAACCTCCCAAATCTTTCATTGACTTAACAAAACCAGCAGCTTTATCTCCAAGAAGATCCACAGCATTACCTAATTTTCCGGCCATGTCGTTCAAAGGTCCTTCCAGATATGTGTAGGGATTGGCAAGCGCAAGATAATCCGAGAATGATGGATCAGCACTTAAATAGAAATAACTTAAAACATTATAAATGTTATATGTAAATATAAAACATTTAAATGTTCGGATAATTGTAACATATACCGGACGGCATAGAAAATGCAAATTCGTTAGGTAGAAACAACAGTATCAACGAAGTGAAAGTGAGTTGCGTTAGTACCTATAACTTCCAAAATCCAGCAAATTTTGTGAACTTAGACCGGGTTGAATATTTTTTAGAGAGTCATGAAAATAAACGAAAATGTAACAGAAACGTATGCACAAAAGCAAACGTAGCAAGAGGGCAAAAGGGAAAACATTTTATTAAATTTTTCAAGTTAACACTTTATCAATTATTTAGCACTTAATTTATTATTTTGACTCCACTATGAGTTGTGAAATTAAAACTTAGTTTGACCAAAATATTCAAATCATTATCAACAGGTTTTTCTCTCTCAATCAATGTATTCTTTTTAAAACAATTTTGTAATACAGCAAGCATTTTGAATTAAAAAGAACTAACAATTAGTAAAATTCTAAAACTCCTTTGTCAACATTAATTCTATGAATAAAGGCAAGCATCTAGATTTTAAACCAATGACACAAAGTAGAACTGGCTAAAATTTTGTAATAGTTTTAAACATATGCCATTTATAAAAAAAAAGCGGGCGTACTGGCATGCTGATTTTGCACAACTTTTACATTCGTTAGTCTTGACAGTTATCTTAGGTTTACAGTTGTCCATTTTAATCTTCAGCTGCTTGCTCATGTCGACAGTAGCATTCATTTCTATGGCGACCTTGTCCAGCAATGTCTGTCGGAACAGTTGTATAAACGCTGAAAAAAAATGCTGATGACTTGCGTGTTCCTGTTTTAAAAAATCATGTTTTATTTATTTTCTGGTACACTTTATGAAAAGTGGTTTAATAACTCTTAATAACTCTTTTATTCATGTGTACGTATCGAAATATATAAGGCAAATGAATAGGTTTTTCACAGTGTTTCTTTAAATTAAAATGATATTTATGATATTTATACTAGTTATGCATTTTTATAGCTCTGCATTTTTATAGTTCCAAAATTGATTCTTATATAAATATACAGGACAGTTACGTACTTTGTTATATATGTATATTTGCACATATATACTTCATACACAAAACATAATTTATCGAATAACAATATACTTAAACTAATTCTAGTTATAAACCTTTATATATCTGCCAAATCAATATTGTTTTTTAAATACACATTACAATATCATACTTATTTTAGATATATTTCTGTAATAATAAGACACATAACCGATATCATATTCATCCTAGTTAGTTATATACTAGTTTTGGCATGTACATACATGACAGTACCATATACATGATAGTACCACATACATGACAGTACCACATACATGACATTACCATATACATGACATTACCATATACATGACCGTACCATATACATTACAGTACCATATACATGACATTACCATATACATGACAGTACCATATACATTACAGTACCATATACATGACATTACCACATACATGACATTACCATATACATGACATTACCATATACATGACATTACCACATACATGACATTACCATATACATGACAGTACCATATACATGACAGTACCACATACATGACAGTACCATATACATGACATTACCACATACATGACATTACCATATACATGACATTACCATATACATGACATTACCACATACATGACAGTACCATATACATGACAGTACCACGTACTTGACATTACCATATACATGACATTACTACGTACATGACAGTACCAAATACATGACATTACCATATACATGACAGTACCATATACATGACATTACCACATATATGACATTACCATATACATGACATTACTACGTACATGACAGTACCAAATACATGACATTACCATATACTTGACAGTACCATATTCATGACAGTACCATATACATGACATTACCATATACATGACAGTACAACATGCATGACTGTATACATGGCACGTAAACAATGTACAAATAATATAACAATAAACAATATCACTCCATCCACGTGCATAAATTTGTGTACATAAATATCACACGCGTTTAACATGAACAACTTAATGATTTTTCAACATATTTAGTGCAGTTATATTTCAAATAACCTGTGACTTCTTACATTTAGCATTGTAATGTTAACCTAGCTAAAACCATGTTCAATTAGTAGAATTACAATCATATCTTTTGCAAAGAGAAACTCAGTAAATAAGGCATGTCATTCTGTTTCATTTTTTTTAAATTGTACTTTGAAATAAAAACATATGTTACAACTTATATCACATACTTTGTAGGGAAAACGTATCCATCGGCTGAAGACCACGGCGTTCCACATTGGCACCATTGGCAACAGCCAAGCATGCTAACAAGGCTGTGAATATCATTTTTATTTTTACTCCTGCTTTAAACTGGTCCTTCTTTTGTTCTAAACTGACGTTAATGTCACATTGGAGATACGTTTATATGTAGCATTTATTCGCAGGCGCGGGTCTAGAATTTTAGAAAAGGGATGGAAGATATGAATCTTACAATTTTTTGGTTATATTCATCGTAAAAACATGTATTACATGATATAAGTATAATGTATAATGTGATACATATGTAAAATAATATGTATTACACCTACATTTACATAGACCTACCATAATCATTAAAATTATAGTAATAATAATGGATTTAACTCAATACAGGATTGGAGCAGTACCTCTAGACGCTTGCAGAAATCATGATCACAAAATAGCCAAATATCGTTCTTTTCGCCGATTTTTACATTTTTTATTCATAACCATACATAAATCGGTGTGAAAAGGTGAATTAGACCTATTTCAGTTCATTCCGTTGGGTAAAAAGGCAAGATTTAAGCATTTTATGATTCAAGCGCCTTGCCCGGTATTTACCGGAATACGGTATTGAGTGTGGTGCTCCAATCCTTTTTTAGTCTCACTCAATAATAATAATATATAAATATTATACGTCTGATATCCTAAATCAGTACAAATGTTTTCCTGAATATAAGCCAAATTAGGAAACCTTACGATGCTTCCTCAATAGAATCTTCATAAACTTTCCAGCATTATAGGCTATAATTCTTAATACGGAGTTAAAATACGAGTGGTTATATCACTGCACACGTGAACTCGAACGGTACATTTTGTTGTTCTGCAACTTTTCACTAATAAAAGTGTTTATTTACGAATTTTAGATTATATCAAGATCAAAATTAAGTGCACCGAGGATTCACCTCAGGTCATTTTAGCAGAAGAAGGATTAAGTGCGTGATGGGGCGCACCATGCTTTTATTCAGACTAAGTCCGTCAGTGATTTGCTCCCTTATCAATCTTATCATCAGTGTAAAAGGCCATACGCCGTTGTGTTAAGGTTGACCGCGTTCATTTTTGTGATGATAGTAAGAATTAAGTGATTGAGATCACACTGTGATAAGGTGGAATCATTTGAAAATGTATAATGAAAATGTACAATGACATACAAACTGAAAACATGTTGTGTTGGGATATTTGATCAAGATATCCACGTTATAGTTTGTTTTATTATTTATACATTTACATATATATATAACGTAATATTACAAAACCATTCACTTTATTTATGTGCGTACTTTATGTTAGTATTTGAATTCTACAACAGTTATTTAAATATATGATTTTATAATAGATTCTTAATATTGGGCGTGTTAATTTCCCGTTTGTCAACCATATATTAATATCTCTATAGAAATTCATAGAAATCATCAACTCCCAAATTTTCAAAATTGGTGGATTATTTCGCTTTTTTCCGGCAGTAAGAAACACTGGAAATTTTAATGTCATAAATAAACCGCCTTCCACTTGTAACGTTTACTTGACAATACATGACATCACACAATACAAAATACACAAATAATACACGAGACGGACCCACTTCCTTAAAAGAATTGTAATTGTCCCATTCTTGCTTTCATGGGACTAACAACTACTGAGGACATTACTTAAAATACAATCGACCGATACAGATCTGAAATACTTGAGATATTATGTTCTTTCCTGTTCTTATATGTGAAAGCTCCAAGGAAGTCCAAAAGCCTCAAAGCATCAATATGTGTGAAATTGTAATGAGTTTTAGTCCTTTAAACGCTTTCAATTTAGGGTCATTTTGCACAATTGAAATATTTTTTCTTAAAGAAAAAGGGAATGAGCGATTGATCTGAAAATGTGCACTCATGTTATAAGTCCTACATAAATTAAAACACAAATCTGGAGAGAAATTAAATCAAGTCACTTCATATAAAAAATCTCAGTCAAGTTTATTTAAGACATAAATCTAATTTATGATATGGTATCCAAATTTATCTAATTGGCACTTTTATGATTTAAAAAGTCTAAAAGGGACACTTTAAACGACTAAATTTGCTCGATTTTTCATTAGGTATGATTCTTTTCTGAGGTTGATTAGTCATTAAATGTCTCCTTAACTCATATGACAACAAAAGAATGTTCGACTTAGTATTTAAAGTAAATTTAAATAGGAAATGTAGTTAATAATGTTTTACATTTTCAAAAAATATGTGAACATTTGTTTAAAATTGTATAATGATAACAAAGTATGTTTTGCATGGCAAGATAATGTTCAAAAGTGTTTCATTTTTAATCAAAATCATGAAACGATCTTTAAAGTTGCAATGTAATGAAACCGGACGTGATGAGTCATTGCCAACAGATGAGTATGAAGCCGGGTAAGTCTGCAAATCCAATGCAGTCTTGCAAGACTCTTGACTGCTTGTAGCTTTTTTTCTATATTGATAGTGAAAAATATTAAACTTTGAATATCCTGTTCCAAATTCATACCTGGGAAAATCCATGACACTAATTTAACAAGTTCAGGGTTAAGTGCCATGTTCTTATCTCTGAACCTTCCAAATATCCACGTCATCGTTTAAAGTTAAACTTAAGCTAAAGAACTTCTGTTTTAACCATGGTTCTTATGGTGATTCTAGTTTTTGCTTTAAGTCATACTGTTGCAGGAGGTAAAACTCAAACTGATGGTCACGTAACTGATTCAGGAATACAGGAAGTTTCCAAGCGTCTTAGCTCGCTTGAGGTTAACCTGAAACGTCAAGCAGAAGACAATGTTGTCCTTAAGCAGACGGTAGCAGATCTTCAAGAAGAAAATCAACGGCTTTTAAGTCAGGTCAGTAGTTTACAAGCGAGCGAGACGGACATGTTTAAAGCCCTTAATGACATGCAGAAGAAAGTGGACCAGATTGACGCCTGTGATCAGAAACACGATGATAATATGCATGACGTCGTTGAGTATATAACAGAGCCCTTATACGAAGAAATAGAACCTGAAAAAGAGGATAAAATCAAAGAGCTATCCGAGACACAGCCTAAAGCTCAAAATAAAGGTGAGAGTGTTACTATTCATAAATACATGCATATGTCAGTCACATAATGAAAAACCGGCATCTTCATTCAACTTCAATGCAAAACTACATTTTTGTTCTTCTGAAGTGATCTATCCTTTTAGCTATGATAGGACGTGTTCAACTATCATTAACCTTTTACAATTAAAACACAGAATAACAATTGGATGAACATTGATAATGATAATTGCCTTATCAATAGATAAACAAAATGGGCGATATACCGACAGTGTTTTTCTTTTTTGTGCTTCTTCTCTCGTATTTCAAAGCAATTCATTCAAGAAAGTTATGCCAAGTATTGAAACGTTTACGAACATAAAACTTCATTCAAATGTTGCGTTCCGCAAAATATATATAATAAAGAAATATATGGCATATTGATATATCAATTTATATTTTATATAAAATGTACAAGTTTTCTTTTAAAACTATTACTCATCTATTTGCAGATGCGAGAAAAATACGAAGGTCCCTTCAACGCCGGGAAAATGAATTGAATGTTTCCTTTTTTGCTACTCTCGGAAATCATCTCCAACATCTTGGAGCAAGTCAAAATATTGCTTTTGATCGAGTTATTACCAACATAGGTAACGGGTATAACAGCCATGCCGGAGACTTCAGGGCGCCTGTTGCCGGAACCTACGTGTTTTCCGTTACGTTGATGGCTTACAGTTCTTCAACAACCCATTATAACATTGTCAAGAACAGTACAACCGTGGCCAATCTCTACGTCCGTGGTATAGAGTCGCCCTATGCGAGCTCCAGTATGACGGCGGTCCTTCAGCTTCAAAAAGGAGAAGATGTTGCCATCAGAAACGTTGATACAGATAAGATGTTACACGGCTCACACTACAGCGCTTTTTCTGGTTTTCTGCTTGACCAAGACTTTTCAAGTCCTGCAATCGTTGGGAAATAAATGTTACTAAATTAAATGAACATCTGATTTTAGCGAATAATAAAAAGAAATTTTCTCTTAATTAAAGTTTCGTGTTGATGTATTTTATAAGATATGGATATTGTCAGACTTTTCACGTTTTCTGCTATTAAGACAACAGCGTTTTCTTTGTGTACTTAACGTCGTGTACAATTAGTTACTACAGTTATGATTCACATAGCAATTTCCAAACCTATGTTTTCATTAATGTACGAGCGGATAAATAAGTTTAATAAATTCGTACAACTCGATATTTAGTTTACACAATTAAAGATTTTTTCCATTCATTTTTATGCAGTGTAAACCTTTGTCTGTTGAATGATAACATCCGCTCAGCCAACAAGTACATTTTTGCTCTTAATTGTTGTTTGAAAGACAAAAATAGAAATTCGTAAATGCTAGTTGGACCACTTAAATCACCCGCCATACAGTTTAATCCTGTGAACAAGTGATTTGTATCTGCTTCAAATTTTGAAGACGAGATTTCGGGACGATGAGCTCAAGGCTACTATAGAGTCTTGGTTTTGGGATCAAAGAAACGTATGTGATTTAAAAGACTGATCAAAAGAAAAGTAAGCTAAATGCAGTGAAGTAAAGACGGAACACATCGAACAATAATATTGAAACTATTTTCCAATATATGAGTTAATTACCATAGTTCTTCAAACTCACTGAAATCCCCTTGTATTTTAAAAAGCATTTTAATCCAAAAAATTTAAAAAGACCAGTCTTGTGCGTTTTTAAAAGTTTATTTTTCATTTTGGTATCCCGTTTTAGTTTTTTTTTCAAATATCCGTTATTATCCATTTAGAATAGCCATCGTTTACTTCTTTTCGTGTGTTTTGGTAGTACAGTTATACAGTAGATTCAATATTTTGTATGGAAGTCAAAATATTTTAGATGTCATTAAGATATCTGGATGAGTTTTGCATGATAAGCATAAGTGCTAATTCAAAAATAGGGTCAAATACGCTTGAAATTAAACAGTCATATACGCAGTATTATTCTTTAAATTCAAATACATGCAAAGATCAGATCTAAGAAAATATAGTTTTGCTTTGTGGTCTGTTATTTCATTTCTAGGGTCCGACAAAAGTTTGCTAAATGTTTTTTTCACTTTCTCTCAATGTTAACAATAAATCTGCTAAATGTCTTCAATAGACTTTTCCCGCTTCCGCATTTGTCAATATTAAGAACATTAAGGTGATAATATATCGACTGCAAAACTGAACTCTGTTTGACGGGTACACAATTGTCAAAACTGAAATGGGTGAGGTTAAAACCGAAGTATATTTTTTGCAGCTCTGTATAAGTCCAATCATTATTGTACTCAACAATGTATATTGACCGCTTTATTTTTTTATATAACAAATTGCTTTGATTATTTTGACAGAACTTTGATTTTCAAAGTACGATATGGATTTGATGGCAAATGTTTGGACGCACAATATTTGTGCATACATGGAGTTGTTGTGGACTCAGAAAATGAAGACGAGGCTAAATTGATAAGATTAGATCCAATAAAGATTTTCATTGCAGGATTACATGGTTAAAATGCTGGATGTATATTGGTAGGTTTACATTAAGGTATGCAAGAAACTCTGTTGAATCTCTTCGAGTTATGTTTATCACACAGACTTTTTATTATACTATTTTAACACAATAAATAATAACTAAAATCTCAGATATTATGCTTTATCACCCCTGCACGAACACGTAATTCTTTCATTACAATGTATATTTAAAACTTGAGCCAGTATTCAAGAGCCATGGGCCTAGCTGGCGCGACGGCCAGATCAGTTATGTAAACTGGAACCCCCGTCAGGTAAGAAGTGTACGCTCCATTCTTGAACACGGTTATTCGCACTTTTGTCACCTTAAGTCCTTGCATGGAACTGAAGTCAGCTTCAACCTACAGCAAAAGAAATGTATAAAAAATGAGAATTAAAGTTAATGTCTAATGCTCTATGACGTAAAATAAATGCTTAAACTTGGGTTTATAAGAATTATTATCATTTATGATAATTTCCTTTTTTGCTCTCTGTCGTACTGGTCATTTTAAGACTTTACATCATATGCAATGTTTTCTGTTTGTTTTCATTTATTGTCGCAAAAAATGTACCAAACATCCTAAACTTCCACTTGATTCACGTGCTTGTGACATTAACGTTAAATAAGCCATAGATTAAGGTTAATCTTACCGATTTCACGATGGGGTTAACTTTATCCAGGGTATGATCGTAGACATCTTGGATTTTCTTCAGTTGGTTTTGCAGAGTGTTGTTCTTATCTACTATTGCACTTCCACAAACTATGAAAAAGATAAGCGTCAATCATAATAAATCATGCAAATGTCTTTGTTTTGTTTTGCATGCTTGTTTCTTGTTATATGTCGATTTTAGTTCATTTCCGTTCATGTATTCGATCCACCTTGCAGGCCTTCCTTGATAGCTACCCAATAACCACTGCTTTCTCTGCAGATTATCAACTACTTACCCCATATGATTACTGAAAGACAAGTGACAACCAGACTAAATACAAATGTATTAGTTTTACGATCCATGACATAGGATCGAACAAGCAACTTACAATAGTCCGATACTCTCACTACTTAGCGGATGGACTCTATGCAAATGTATGCTTATAAGCCAGTGTACATTTGTATTTCAAAAACAAGTGTAACGACAAAATCTTAGAAGAATAGGAATATAATACCAGTTAAAGCAAAGCATCTGCCTTAAATTCCTATCTTAGGAAATCATGTTTTATGTTACAAAATATATCATCATATTCATTAATACCTGCTGTGACAACTTCGTCTTCTGTTGGAAGCAGTAGCGGTCTACAGGATGTACATTGCTGCATGCATTGTTTAACTTTCGGATCGATCACTTCGCGCTTCCTTCGTCGTTTTCCTAAAAGATCTAAACGAAAGAAAATAAGGAAAATAGATGGTGGGCGTAGGTAATTGGTATTCAAACAAGTTCGTTTATGTTCAAGAAGCTTTGTTACTCTCCGTAGTTTTATCAAAATTAGATCCCACCATGAAAGACAAATGTTGTGGACATTGTCGTGAATGAATTATTTCAAGATATTACCAACAAATCCAAAACCAAATAAAGCCAATTTCAAGCTGCTTAGTACAAAACTTATTTCTATCTGGTAAAATACATTTTACAACATATAGTGAATAGTTTGAATGTTATTTTAGCATACAACTTAGATATTTATCACAAAAGCTCGGACATTATACATTGAATCTAAACAATTTTGGAAATTTGTGGTTTCATATTTTTGGTTAAAAAGATGGTGACAGCAAATATAAAAAATACCTTTCAAATCTTTCAGTTTATCTCCAATGAGTGACCCAGTATCGATGGTGAAATCTTTAATGTCTTTGCCCAGGTTTTTCAGACTGTCGACAGCTTTTTTGATTCCGATTTCTATTTGTTTATAAAGGAACTAGAAGACAAAATAATCCCGTTTATTTACAAATACTCATAGATTAAAATAAAAGAGGCAAAAATGAACTATATTCTAAAAAACCATTAGCATCGTCAGATGCTAACGACCTATTCTTTCCCTTATTATTGCAAAATGACGAAGAGATATTGGACTTATGTATCTGTTGATGAATTACGATGATCTTTATCCTTAATACGATCTTGATGATGATGTTGATTGTAATGATGATGATGCTCATAATGATGATGAAAATGATGATGATGATTATGATGATCATGATGATGACAAAATGATGTTGCTGATGCTGCTGTTGCTGATGATGATAATGATGATGATGATGATGATGATGATGATGATGATGATGATGATGATGATGATGATGATAAATGTGATTATCATGATGATGACGACGATGATATTGATTATAATGATGTGATGATCATGATGAACAAACAGTAAATACTACCTTAAACTCTTTCGGCAACTTGACGGAAAGGCCTAGGTTTTTGAAGTAGTTGATAAAACCACCGGCTTTGTCTCCAATTAATTCCACAGCAACATCAACTTTCTTGCCTATGTCATCTAGTGGTCCCTTCAGATGTGTATATGGATTAGCAAGATTCAAAATGTCTTTGAATGTCGGCGATTTTCTGTGAAAATTCACTTGTTTCAATATTTACATTAATCTATTTATTTGATATTATTTATTTATTTATCTATTTGTTTTATTCATTTATTTATTTATTTATTTATTTATTTCATTTTATCTTGAATTTCCACTTGACACGTGCACTTGATTAAACAGTTTTAATCACTGTTACTGCAGTGTAATTAAGTCGGATTAATGAAGCTAATGGTTGTTCCTTTTTATTACATGTATAATAAGTGTTCTGAAGAATAGATGTATAGCAAAAATTTACAACTGTACAAATAGTAAAATGGTTCATACCACTTATCATGTTAGAGTTTAAGTACAAGATTTTAATCCTCGCAAGACACCGAAAACGAAAACAGTAAAAATGTTAAAATTACATTTCTCGTATCGAGCTATCGATGTTATTTTAGACTCAGCCATTTGAGTCGGTCAGATTAATTTAAAAAAGAAAATAAATCAATAGGAAAATGGATGTAAAACTTAACTTACTTGCATTTACTCTGTGCACATGACTTGCACAAGTTTACTTGTGATTCTATTTTAAGTTTACAAGCGTCTACTAAAGGTGTCAGTTCATTACTGGCCTCAACAGTCCTATTAACTTCGATTGCAACTTGTTCTAGAAGTGTTTGCCGGAATATTTGAAGAAATACTGAAAATTGTAAGTAATTTATGATAAGCATTATACAACATAGGTGAAATATTTAATAAATTACCCAAATTTTATGATCAGAAGAAATTATCTAAATCAAGTAAATTTTCATAGCAAATTCTCCTCTTAGCTCCTCTATTTACAGCAAACTCCATGTCGGATGTTCTTATGATCATATAGCACCTTTCGAATTTCCTGATGGAGGAGGACCTCATGTTCTTTATTGTACATTATTTACATTATTTCGGAGGTATGCTGACAGTTGTGGGCTGTTGAGTAGAACCACCGACTTTGTAAAAACTGACAGGATAGATCAAAACGCTTTTCCTTATTTTAGTTATTAATCATCAACTTTTTGATAAGCAAAGACGTATAGACATTTTGATCAACGACATACAAACGTTTTGAAGATAATGGCCAGATATAAACTGGTAACTTGTTAAAAAGACTAAATAACGAATATTGCTATAATACATTTCAAACAAACGGCAGACAAATTATTCGACATAAAGTAAGAATTAGTGAAACCTCTTACAAACCTTTGAAGGAATCCGGACTGATTGGTGTAAATTGCCCATAAGTACTTCCAGTCACTAAACACACCAGAAATAGCCCTGACAACATCATTTCTCTCTGTTAGTATGAATGCTCTGTGTTACGGTGTATCCTCCGAGTAGCAGTCAGCCCGGCAAACGGCTAAAAAGTAAGAGAAAGTAAAAATATGCCCCTTGGAAATGTTTCTTCTTGTAGATATACAAAGACAAAAATATCGAAATACTATAAGTAATATTCAAAATAAAAGTTTTTTTTATTTTGTCATCAGAAGTCAATTCGTTTTGTTGAATACGATTAGCAATACGCCGTACGTCGAGTTTATTTATACACAATGTGTGTGTAGCGAGCCATACCGAACGTGTAAACAAAAATATATTTTACGTCAACGTAACGTAGGTAAGCAAACGAAATGTAAACATTTCACGGTAACGGGACGTTCATGGGAAAAGCCGCAGTCTTTACTTCACACTATGTAAATTTAAAGTAATATGGAAATATACAAACATCTTAAAAAGAGGAAACGATAATTAAAACCATTATAATTATGTTTACAATAAAACGGTTGTCACGTGAAGCACTTCTGCTATATTGTATTAAATCCTGTTATAATATAATGTACTTACTTTGGTTCCCAGAATTTTGCTGACGCTTCTAATCACCGTCCCTTATATATACATTTTGTAAGTCTTATTAACCCGAGGGTTAGTTGAAATAAAGCAAACAGTTCAATTGATTAACACGGCAATTAAACGTCATTTAAAATGATAATAAGCCGCCTTAAGCCACGAAATATGCTTTATTTCCTACACGAATTGCAACATCTTGTAGATGACAAATGAAAATAAACTAAAAACAAATTCTACCGAAAGCTGTGAAGGTTCGTTAAATTACTACAACTACAAATATTTTATTGCATTACAACAATATGTTCCATTGCAATAATTAATATTTTCAACACAAAAACATGCAAATTCATTATTTTATTATTTTAAAACCCGTGTAACTGACATATTCAGAACTTGCCTTCCCACGCACTCAGGCAAACCGTTTTCCGGGATACTCGAGAGAAAAACAATAACAGGAGTTTTTATAGCGTTACCAAGACCAATTGAGAACGAGCTAAATAGACAGTCTAATGGGGACATACAACCCTATCCTTCACACCAACGGATCGCGGGTTCGAGCCAGTGGGGTGACGGTTACTTCTCCATCAAAGTATACATTTTGTTACAGTAAACAGTAAGATACATTTTGCAATAGCTTTTTTAACTATGCAAAAAATCAATAATCCAAGTGACCAACGGAAATATCGTCTGGTATGTATCACTAACGTTCATTTTTCATAATAGTCGGGGTAGTCTCTTTATAACTTGGGTGGTTTTTACATCATATCCTAAACATTTTTCATTGTCAATTTATTGTCATTCTCTTAGAATAAACTGCTAATTAAACTGAACTTGGCAGTGAAAAAAAAAATAATATCACTAAATTGCTAATAATAAACCAGTTTTGTAACTGACTGGCCAAATTGGATAAAAATTATAGAATTGATTCTTATGGTTTGCTGGTGTCATTGAAATTGTTATTTCCAATTGTTGATAAAACCATCTGTTTCATATATTGAAAACATATATCAAATAGCTTAAAGCTTTGATATTTATCATCATAGTTGATAAATGGAAATGCACGATAGTTTCAAAAATAAACAAAAAATAACTGACGCTCATCGTTTACATCCGCAAGCACTTACAATATAAAATAAGTGCAGTGAACTTGTTTTGCCTGAGCTGAAAATTCACTTTTACGTACTTAAAAGTATTAATCAAACAATTTCTCAATTAACGTTAATAGCATGTAATCACGTGTATGTATAAAGAAATAAAATCGTTTATTTGTATCAATCAAAGACCCAAGATATCAATAAAAAGGAATATTGATCTTTATGTAGTAGATAAATGCCGAAAACTGTCAAAAATGTAAAATATTGCATTTCATGAAGGTCGGGTTATATTTTCAAAGAACCGTTTATATGTGGCCAGATAACCTGTCAAAAATCTTTATAATGAATAATATATTTTGTTTTAGAGTATATCTCTTTTGATTAAAAGCAAACTCGTGTAATTATCTTTATTCTTTGTAAATTTCAATGCCTCAGCTCTTTATTATTCTGCACGATATGCATTAATGAAAAGGACAAAAACATTTGGGGGTAGTTACACAGATGTTGTTTATGTTTTCTGATTGTTGTTTTTGTTGTTGTTGTTATACATTCATTTATACACCCATCAGTTTAAAAAAAATGTACAACCGCTCTTTCAGAATGCACGTGTATTCTTTATCTTTCCGGTGCATATCCGCACTTTAAGACCACACGAGTATTTGGCGACAAAGCTTTAATTAAAGTTTACCTTATAACGAACAACTAATGACTACTGACTTATAATTCAGAGAAAGACCTAAAGTAGTTGTTTAAGTATCAATACTACATTGTCATTTCGTCAAGTAAGGAATAATGACTTTTTTTCATCTTTTTTTCCCTAAAATTTTAGGGGAAAATAATGCATTAGGAAATATGATAAGCTATTTGTTGTCCGTATCTAAACATACTCTGCACATGTTTTATATTTCCAAAAATAGATTACATCAAGATATATATTATTGATCAGCGACAGGGACTAATTGAACACAACGTATGCGTCTAATGTGTAATATGTAGAAACTTTAAAGACACCTTATGCCTCAGAAGCAAATATTTTTTACTTCTTTTGAAAGGGAAAAACATAAATGTTGTAATGTCTTTATAATTGTTTAAGACAATGATGCTTGTTACCTGATGTAAAGTAGCGCTGAATGTGAAATAATTTGTCATAAAAATAGCAAAATGTTAACAAAGTAGTATTTTGACTTCCATGCAAAGTACTAATTCACTATAACTGTACTTATTGCCAGAAAGCAACAGATGGAAAAGTTGTTTCAGGTAATAGGCTTATTTGAAATTTTTGGGATACTATAAAAGTACACTAAAATAAAAAAAAAATATCTTCAAAAAAAATTCCCGAGGCATAATGGGCCTTTAAAGGTTGACAACTTACAAAAATGACAATCTGCTGATCAAATTATTCATATTCGTAAAAACCAACCAAATTACCAGTCATGTCAGAAAGTAGTATTTCATCACAACAACCCAAACCGTACACTATGTACAGATAGATTTGACAGTCATGCAGTAAACAAGTATTTACTTTACCTAGTAACAGTTGTTTTTACAAATACATTTTTAAAAAAACATCAGTAAATAATTATAAATTTGTCATTCCAGGTAAAAAAAACAAATAAAGATGAAAAACGTCACAAGTCTTAACCTTTAGATTTCTCATTTGTCTGTTGTTGTTTGTTTGTTGTTGTTGTTGTTGTACGTGTGGGTCATGCAGCACATTTGCGTGTGTGCGTTCGCACGCGCGCTTGTGTGATTGAGGGAGGCGGTAATAAAAGTAGCTATAGATAATTTGTATGAACAGTATTTCACAGTATTTTAAGGAACTCTAATGAGATCTAAAACCAACAATTTCAGTTTTTTTAAACTGATCAACTTGGGGTCATTTAATGTAGAAATGTATCACAAAGAAATATACTCCAAATTAAAATGAAAATGGTGGTTTTGTGCGACTCTTTGTCTGATTGGAGTAAAAGCTTTTATTTTTGTGTCATTATTCTCAATAAGAGTAAGTATTTTAGAAAAAAAAAAGAGTAGGCGAATGATCTGAAATCCTGCACACAAGTTTTTGGTCCAGATTTACATTAATTATACGAGTGTTGTCCCAAAATGTCGTATATTGAAAAATGAGCCGTGTCACGACAAAACCAACATAATGGTTTTGCGACAAGCATGGATCCAGACCAGCCCGCGCATCCATGCTTCGCTCCCCCTATTTTTAAATAGGAAACATACGATGAAAGAGTTCTACCAACCCCGGGGTTTCCAGGTGGTCGACCAGTATGAAACGAATGTTTTTTGACACCCCAATTCTTTTCCCGGGTAAAATCTTATTCTTAAAATATTCGAAAAAAATATTTTATTTTATACTTTTTTTTTATAATTGTTTTAAAAAAATACAAAATAATACAGAAGAAGAAGAAGAAGAAGAAGAAGAAGAAGAAGAAGAAGAAAGAACCATAATATGAGTATATGCCATGCAATAAATGCGCTTAACTGAACTCACTTTAAGCATATAATATAAATGTATTTTTGAATCAATTTTTTTCGTATCCACCCCTGAGTTAATCTTTTAATCGGAGCCTCGGCCCCATGCGCAACTGCAACATTTATAGGGTCTTGTAAAGGGCATGCACTTAGACTCTGGAATAAAAATTTTAAAATTTTACCCTTTAAAATTTAGAATAAAAAAAACCCAAAAAACAAAAAAAAATAGGTCCAAAAGGGAACGGTCAGTAAAATTATTTTCCCAAAAATTCCAGAAAAAGAATTAAGAAGCTACATTTGAATTTAAGAGGAAAAATTTTCTGTAAAATTAAAATGAATGAGTTTTTTTTGTTCTGAAAAAAAATATATATACAGCAAAATTTGCCGTTTTCACACAAAAAACCAAAAAATAGTTTCGTTTTTCGAACCCGCAGGATCCAGAACCAGCCCCGCGCACTGCCAGTCTGATCAGGGCCATTGTTCCTACAATCACTTTTAAATAGTTGGGTTAGCGAAAGCATATCCTGACAGACTGCGCGGGATCCAGGCTGGTCGATTCCATGCTGGTCGCAAATGCGCTAATTTGGTTTTGTCGTTGCACAGCTCGAATAGTTTTTAAAAGAATATGACTCTTCAGAGCAGATATTTACAAAGTTCGATCTCTATACTTTATGCAGGTGTTTGAATCTGTAAAATTTTCTGTTTGAAGTATAGCAAATATTTTTTTCCCAGGGAGTGTCTGATATTCTCTGAAAAGGTAAACGTTGCACTAAAAAAGTAAACTGTGTACTAAAAAGTAAACCTTGTACTAAACAGAAAAGCACAACCGAAAACAGAGAAAATAGAAGTACAAATAGATGTATGTCATTTTCTAACTCAATATGTTTAAGTATAGATATTAAATTGACTAAGTGTGTTTGCTAAGTATGTTTGAACTTTTGTTTTTAAATTTTGTCAAATGCATTGACTATTTTGAAAACGGAGCAATAGTGTGCATTTGGTTGCCTTACATAGTCTGTGTTCATTTTGCTGAACGATTTCTTTTCAGTCTTTTCCCTATTTTTGTCAGAAATTTTATAGATCTAATTAAAGTCTTCTCATTAAAGTTAAAAATACATGATTGGGTAAATAAATGTTGGTGAAGATATTTATCAGAAAGCGACAGTCATAAAGTTTGTAAATATAAGGTTTTCACATTGCACGAGTAGTATAGGGGGCGATCATCCCTCTTTTTAAGCTGTTTTTCCCCTTCAAATTAACGTCCAACTATGATTTAATTCCGGGACGCTGTACTTTGATGACGTATTCTTGCCATCTGCATTTATACAACGACTTTCTCGTACCAATACTCCACCCCCATTCTCTTGGCACCCAGTGCCATGTTGAACAATGGAAATTCAACATCAGTGTTGTAGGTGCGGTATTCCTCGGCACTGTAGGCAGTAATTGTGACCAGTGAAACCTTGAAGTCAGCAGTTAGGGAAGACAAATCTAAAACAACCTGAAATATACGTGATTATATTTATCTACCTTGACAAATTTTGCTGCCATATTGATATTAACTATAATTTAGTTTTACATCATAAATCATATAACATGATTATAAAACAATCAACACAATGCAATGTCGCTAATTTTAAGTAAAGAACTCCATTTCATAATTCATCAAATAAAAAAGCCTTTTTAAATGTTCCCGTCAAACTGCAACTGCTGTACTAAAATATGTTACAAAAAGGGCGACAATCCAATTTAATGATCGCTGTATGTTCGGATATGAGTTATGCATCTTTATTTGTAATTGACCAGCGCCTATGGGTGTGATGAATGGGGTTATAAAGTCAACCAAATAACAGATATGTCAAACAGACAAGTATTCTGTACCTCTTTGACGATTGGGTACACCTCGTCCAATGTGTAGTTGTAGGCGGTTTGAATCTTCAAGAGATTATTCTGTATGGTTTCGTTTTTCGTGATTACGTCACTGCCACATACTACAAATACGAAAAAAAGAACACAATAATTACAAATACAAAAAAAGAACACACTAATTTAGTGATGTTATGCTTTTTATAAAGTGTGTACCTTTATTTAGCTACTTTGTAAATGTATCTATATATATTTAGACTTTCTATATATATTTAGACTTTGTAAATGTATCTTACTTTGTAAATATTGTTTGCATAATTTCGGTTGCAGCAGTGTATTTGATAAATCACAGAGATACCAAGAGTTCTTCATTTTGCATGTTAAAATAAGAAATGTACTTCTATGCCATCAATAGTGACGGTATGCCATATAGTTCACTACATTTGAGGTAAGATTGTGTTCTTGCTGGTACTTACCGTGTGTTGCAGAATATTAAGAAGTTATATTTATCAAAAAGATTTGTTAGTTTAAAATTGTTTTGAACAATGTTTTTGATATAAATCCAAGCATATAATAGCTATTTTTAAACCTGCTGCAATAATGTCTTGTTGGGTAGGCAGCAGCAACTTCTCACAGGGCGGACATTTCTCCATGCACGCTCTTATCTCGGCATCATCGTTTGAACGCTGATCCAACTTCCGGTCAATTAACTTGCGCAGAAGAACTTCAGCGCCAAGGAGTTCGCGCAGATTCATTAAAGAACGCTTTCGCCTTTTGAAAGGCAACAGGTCTTCTGAAATTAGAAAAATAAAATTGCACAACAGTAACATACATATACGAGTGTGGGCTTTGGGAGTGAACATTATGATTTACGTGATATAGAACATAGAATATTAATACCGTGAAGAAGAATGAACGTTTACTTACTGTCGCCATCTATTACATAAATATTATTAAAGCTACGAATAGTGTAGTAAATGATCTGAAGCACGAATAAAATAAAACACAATATATTTTAAAACTGGGCGACTATTACAACCGCCATACATCACATGACACAGACCACTTACTGAAAAGATCGAAAAGTCCTTCTGTTGCATCTTTTATGAAGATTCCAAAATCTTCTAGTTTGTCCTTCAACTTCGCCAGATCTTCATGCAATTTGTCAAAAATACCCTGACGATAAATATATGTATGTTTTAATAATGATAAACGGGTCGGTTACATGAACTAAGACTTTAACTCGCAATTTATATTTCATTTTCATTAAAATAAATAAAGAAAGAAATAAATAAATAAAAAATCCTCATGTAAATGAAATTATTCTAGAATTTTAAATGTTAAAACTAAAACGGAAATTTTTACACCCTATCTAAACACTATCTTGGTATTTGATTTTACACTCTTCTGATAATATTATAACTATGTTTCCAAATAGGGCTTTCCTTTTTTCAATATATACGTGCACGTGTTTCGCACATTGGAATTTTCGCAGATAATAAATATTACCATTATTCAGTCAAGTTTTGGATTTATTGAACGAATCATTGCCCCTGTCGAAAATGCAATACATATTACATGTAAATGTAAATGCTCTTTGAAATATATTCAAGGTAACGTCATGACACATATTAAACACGTACAATACGTCATACCTTTGCAAAATCTGGAAAATCTTTCAAATGTCCCCCAAGATCATTTAGTGCGTTATAAAATCCAACAGCATCCTCTTTTAGAAGTTCTCCAGCAGTTTCCAGTCTATTTCCGATGCTGTCAAGCGGTCCTTCGAGGTAATTGTACGGATTTGCGAGCTCTAGGTAATCCAAGAACGTAGGAGATCGTCTGGGGACAAAAGGAGAGCATGTAGTGAACCTAATTACACTTTTAGAATGGACATGTCTTATATAAACTTACGTTTTTGGAATTGCCTATTATCAATTTTGGGGAAAAAGATTTGCCATACAAAAGTAAGACTTAAACAGATTATCATCTAGATTAGATTTGGTAATAACATCCAAAACAAACAAGCGTCGATGTGTTCATGAATATAAACTATCCTGCTATTCAACGCATTTTAGAAGAAAAAATATCAAAATTACTTGCGCTATTCGTAGTATCCGAAAGCATTTACTTACTGGCATTGTGCCTGAGTACAAGCCTTGCATTCGGCGGTCAATGACTCCATGGCAGGTTTACAATCATCTATCAATTCTTTTAATTCTTCAGTCATATTCACAGTGATGTCTAGATTTAGAGCGATCATTCCCAGCAATCCTTGACGGAATTTGATGGTAAATTCTGAAAAAAAAGACGCAGCAAACTTTCCAGACACATAGAACTTAAATTTGATCTGTTTTTAAAAATGTGAGAGAAGCGATACATTTGCCTCGATATGATACGATACATACCGCGATACTTAATTACGATACAATAAATGTCACAGTGAAAAACAGAATGAAATATTTAAACTAACTTACTGTACTGGTTCGAAACAGTTTGTATTTATGTGTTTTATTTGAAATAAGTAAATAAATAAATAAATAATGAAGGCAGATATATTAAACTTAAGTTTGAAACTAGTAAATTAGAAACTGAAAGGCATATTATGCCTAAGAAACTATTCCCCCCCACCCCCTTCTTTAGAAAGGGCACACATGAGTTTTACAACGTTAAAATAGTGGTTTAAGAGCATTTATGAAGAAAATTGCGTGTAATGTGAAATATTTATCACAAAAGTATCAAAATGTAAAGAAAGTAGTACTTGACTTCCATACAAAATACTAAATCAATATATCTATTCTAACCGTCAGAATGTAACAGAAGCAAAACATGGTTCAAATAAATACTTAATTATTCATGTTTTGTAAACTTCTAAAGGCCAACAAAAATAACAAGCTTTTGATATATGAAACTGAAAGCAATGGTCAATTAAGTCAAAGTGCAATTTGTGTCAATAAACAAAAACTGTAAGATATTTTGACATGAGCTATTAGAGGCTTTGCTAAACATTGTTTACTAATAAAGAATTGGCACAATATTCACCTACCGCTAAGGTTTCTGTTTTCAGAAAATCAGAAAATTTTAGTACTTGAAACCATAACCTGTTTGTACCAAACGTTATTAGCCTTTGCCACCATCATAGATCCAGACCAGCTTGCACATTAATACATTCTGACCAGGCTCTATACTGTAGACTGACCAACTAAAGATTTCTATATTGATATCCCAAGAATAATAACGAACAGTTCCAAAAAGAAAGTTGCACAAATTCATCCAAGAAATACAGCAAGTTTCAACATAATGTTATTACACATTTTATTTAAAAAAAATTAAACCCTTTTGAACATTAAATGTGATAAAGATGTGCAAGCACTGGCAAGGGTCATAAAGAAACGAGAAGAAAGATCAACAAGGCAAAAGCAACGTTCACAGGACGCAGCATAAAATACGATAATTTAAATGTCAGTTTAATAAACCGTGCCGTTAGCTCAATAGGTACAGCATTGTTATGTGATTCGCGGGGTTCGATTCCCGGACGGTGCAGGTCGCTTTCGTACTGTTTGATCATGAAGAACTTTCTACTATACTGCATGTAAAGAAGTTATCACTATACGCAAGAAATGATACGGTGCTTAACTGTGCTCTAGTAAATTCAGAAGTTATCACTATACGCAAGGAATGATACGGTGCTTAACTGTGCTCTAGTAAATTCAGAAGTTATCACTATACGCCAGGAATGATGCGTTGCTTAACTGTGCTCTAGTAAATTCAGAAGTTATCACTATACGCCAGGAATGATGCGGTGCTTAACTGTGCTCTAGTAAATTCAGAAGTTATCACTATACGCCTGGAATGATGCGGTGCTTAACTGTGCTCCAGTAAATTCAGAAGTTATCACTATACGCCAGGAATGATGCGGTGCTTAACTGTGCTCTAGTGAATTCAGAAGTTATCACTAGACGCCAGGGATGATGCGGTGCTTCACTGTGCTCAAGTAAATTGAGAAGTCATCACTATACGCTAGAAATGATGCGGTGCTTAACTGTGCTCAAGTAAATTGAGAAGTTATCACTATACGCTAGGAATGATGCGGTGCTTAACTGTGCTCAAGTAAATTGAGAAGTTATCACTAGACGCCAGGGATGATGCGCCGGTGCTTCACTGTGCTCAAGTAAATTGAGAAGTAATCACTATACGCTAGGAATGATGCGGTGCTTAACTGTGCTCTAGTAAATTCAGAAGTTATCACTAGACGCCAGGAATGATGCGGTGCTTAACTGTGCTCTTGTAAATTCAGAAATTATCACTATACGCCAGAATGATGCGGTGCTTAACTGTGCTCAAGTAAATTGAGAAGTTATCACTATACGCTAGGAATGATGCGGTGTTTAACTGTGCTCTAGTAAATTCAGAAGTTATCACTATACGCCAGGGATGATGCGCCGGTGCTTCACTGTGCTCAAGTAAATTGAGAAGTAATCACTATACGCTAGGAATGATGCGGTGCTTAACTGTGCTCTAGTAAATTCAGAAGTTATCACTATACGCCAGGAATGATGCGGTCCTTAACTGTGCTCTAGTAAATTCAGAAGTTATCACTATACGCCAGGAGTGATGCGGTGCTTAACTGTGCTCTAGTAAATTCAGAAGTTATCACTAGACGCCAGGAATGATGCGGTGCTTAACTGTGCTCTTGTAAATTTAGAAGTTATCACTATACGCCAGAATGATGCGGTGCTTAACTGCGCTCTAGTAAATTCAGAAGTTATCACTATACTTCAGGAATGATGCGGTGCTTAACTGTGCTCTAGTAAATTCAGAAGTTATCACTATACGCCTGGAATGATGCGGTGCTTAACTGTGCGCTAGTAAATTCAGAAGTTATCACTATACGCCAGGAATGGTGCGGTGCTTAACTGTGCTCTAGTAAATTCAATGTAGCTCCCGGTCGATATCCAGGAGGTAAACTACCAACACCAGCACCAACAACACCATATCAGTTAAGCAACCACCAACAACACCACGTCAGGTAAGCAACGAGGTAAAGCATGTGATTATAAAACTATGAAAACAAATAAATACAATGTACGAACCTTTTATTTCTGATTCACCCAAAGGCCGTGCCTGTGCTTCCGTACGGGTCCCTGACAGGATGACAATCATCAAAACAAACACAATAACCTTCAACATTTTAGTGAAATTGAAGGCGTATTTCTGATATGTCACAAATAACTCTTAAAACCAAATAATATGTTAAAGTATCGAATTGTATTTATATTCTCGCCCAGAGTGAACAAAGCTTATATACGTTAATCAATTTATAAACAACAACTGATTTAAGCTAAAGTGACAAAAAAGATACATCAAAAAAAGATTATTTACTTCAAAGCCCATTGTCTACTTAAGCCTCACATCACTTAATTCACTAGTGATTTTATCTAACTGCACAGCGACTGCACAAACTTTTGACAACACTTTGATGGTAAAAGTTGATAAAATATTTTTTTGGAGTTCAAACATTATTAGTAAAAATGGGGGTGCTTTTAAAATACCATTAGACAGTCACGTAATAGCTTTTATACCATATTTTTTAATCTTAAACATCAAAATTAGCTTCGAGTGGAGAAGGACGTCAAGTTCAAAAGAGAACGTCAAGTTCAAGAGTTTGTAAGGCTGATCCAAGTGGTTCATGATGAGAAAGGGAGAGAAGTTGGTGGGGGAGTAATTTGCAAACAATAGCATAGTTTTGGAACTGATATAAAAGAAACACTAACTAATTTCTTAACCACATGTTTTATAATTGAAAACCATAAATTCAAAGCCGTCCGGTTAGCTTAATATGTATATAGCGTTAGACTGTGAATCGGGCGAGCAGGGTTCGATTCCTGGACGGCACATGATCATGAAATCCCTTCTACGGTCATGTACACTCTACCTTTGCACTGGCATATACAGAGGTTATTTATTCCTTGCAAAAGTGAAGCCATCTGGTACATATACTTGTAAACTGCTGGACAGTCTGCCTAGGAACGATGCGGTGATAGAAGTGTGTTCTGATAAATTATTTGTTTTTATGGTAGCTAATTACTGCCAAATACGTGCAAATACCACATAGTCACCACTTTTCCGTGTTATCATGTTTTCGATTTTGCACTCCGGGGAGCGAAAGTACGACAAATTGGTCACTATGATGTATTACTGTGTTCGCCTTTGCCCCCCCCCCCCCCCACACACACACACACACACCCGGAGAGAAAGTACGAAAGAATGTTGTATTTTCATGTTTTCGTGTGGTGCCCGGCTGAGAGAAAATATTTCATGGAACAAATCAACCATCATAGTTTTCCCTCTAAACATATTTTTCTATGAAGCGTTTTATTTTATTTACTAAAAACGATATACATGCGCGTTGAAAAATAGCACCTTTTATCATACCTCTTTAAAATCATTACCAAACAATATTTACAAAAATCGCAGTGAACGCAGTATAATCTGAACGTTTAAATATATTCTCGATTGATGATATCTTGGAATTTTAAAAGCAAACATTTCATTTTTATCATTTTACATCGCCTTTATCCTTTGATGGACTTTTTTATCATTGTTGTTTATTCAACATCTTTATTTTATTTATGTTGGGAATATGTGCCTTAACGTCTACGTTTACCATTTTAAAAATAATTATATCAAGAAACATTACCAAAAATCACTATTTTGTATTGCTTTTTATATTAATTATTTATTATATTTTTTACATTGTCTGTTCTTGATAATGGGTGGTCATAATATCAAGGCCTTTTTTAATGTAATTATGCTTTGTAACACATGCTTGAAATATTTCTGACAGTTCAGGGAATTGTTAGATATCGTATGTAGCTAAGTAAATGATTTGTCATTTTTCTAGAAAAGTAAGTGAAAAAAACTGACAAATTATCAAAACGTTATGACATATGTCATTTAAAATATCATACTGATGCCAACTTCACAATATTTTTCGCATTCTGTGCAGTCTGTTTTATATGTCTAAAATGATATAAAGACATTCTAACTTTTCGTACTGAAGTATGTATAATAAAAAGAAAGATAGCCAGTCCAGCTGTACTTCTTTGATAAGAAAATTTGTTTGATGTTCTTGAAAGATTTCGAGAGAATTGGATGAATTTTAAAGTTGAAATACTAATATCAACTTCATAAGAGCAACTTCATAAGAGCTAAAGTCCACGAACGAACATTTTCTTTGACATTCTGAAGGATAAGTTTTAGGTTTATTATATGTTTTTCTAAAACAGCTTTTACAAGGGTGGCCTTAAAGTTTTTCCTTTGAATTGTTAAAAACTTAGTCGGTATAATTTGATTTAAGGATATTTTTTTCTTGCGCATTTCTACTATATGATGCGTTAGTGGATATACACTAACGTTGATAAAGTATTGCTTTTAACTGATGATAATGTATGTATTCGTTTTAGTGCAAAATGTTCAGCAAAAATTAAGTACACAAAAGTGAAGGTAGCGACAAATTCCTTTTCGCAATTTTGATTTTTTCCACATATCTGTCATGCTCATCAGATTTTATACGCAAGTGTATTTTATGTGTGTGCTCTAAGGGCTCAAAATGAATTAATAAAAATGTGCAATGATGATATTAAAACATTCAGATACCGTATCATTAGATCTACATGTTCATTTTAACAAAGAAAGACGCACGTTATTAAAGCCTACAGTTACGAGCGGTTGTTTTTTCTTGTTGTTTTGCTGTTGTTGTTGTAGTTGTTGTTTTGTTGTTGTTGCAGCGTATGGTTTTATTATTTTATTTACATGTCTAGAACAAACTTCCATGACATCTGAAAAAGTAGTAGTCTTAACCTTTTAAGTAAAGCCAAATACTAAGTGACCTATTTTTCATCATCTTTAATCGCTGCGAAATAGTTAAATCTTTTGTAATTCATTAAAAATATTTTTACGAGGGTTGTTCAAAAGCTTATAGGACTCCAGTTCTACTGTTTACATTTTTAATTGACCTGCACATTTGAATATGAAGATGCAAGACTCTTAGCCCTCTTACTTTTTGAACAGCCCTCGTACTTCATTCATATTTTGCCGCCAGTTACCGTTTACACATTTGAGCATACTCCATGCGACTCAATGGGTTAAATTTATTGGAGGCTATGCATCTTTTAGCTCCAGCAGGTGAGGTAGTTTTTTACCCAAAGGTTAGCCAAAATCGACTTTCCTGTTTCAGCACCATAATGACCTAAATTGTGTCGGTTCGCCGTAAAACCAAACACTAATTGTTACAGCAGATTCCACTGTTCAATTATAGGTATTATTCTAAGTCAATTACAGCACAGTTAGTAAAACTTATTGATTAAAGAGATACTGTACTCAGTTAATAAGATTTTACTCAGGATGCCCTACCTATCGCATATAACCTGGCTGAAGCAACGGCACTGACTGACAGAATACATTATTGTGAACCAATTCATCTTTGAAAAATGTATATACATGTATCTTCCTAAGGACCCGGGACTTAAAACTTTTATTATTTTTATCTTTTTAGTTGGTCGTGCTGACTTATTGGTTGATGATATATGTCAATGATAGGGGTGTGACGTTTATCCGTTTAAAAACCGGTCAAAAAATATGTTCGTGAAGTTGGCAGCCTAGCAGCCTAAAGTCGGTAAAAAGTTTTGTTCTAGCACTGCTGTAAAGAGTAGAAAATCGAGTCTGATATGCAAGAAAATACATGTGGATCCACGCCTATGATATGTAGTATGAAGAGAATGCATGTGAATACGGATCCGCGCCTATATTAGGTATTAAGATGAAACTGGTGTGGAATATGGGATTGGCGGTTTAATTGGTTAATTATAATTGTAAGTACATGTATATTAAATGCCAAAAATCTCAAGAAGAATAACTTTATGTATTTACCTAAATTACGAAATCTCTGAAAGCATGTGTTTAACTGGGAATCAATTATATTTTCTTATGACGAGACAGAATTCACTTTGTTGGTGATCTTATCATTTTTTAGGCGGGAAATTAAATACAGTTAACTCATGATATAATTTCATTAAAACCAGATATTAAATTTGTGCGGCTCCAGATGGGTTTGTTCCCTTCTTACCAAAGATAATTAAATCATGGTAAATCATATTAAATCATAAAAAATCATATTAAATCATGTGTTCCTACAATGATAATGTAATTAATTTGTGGCGGAAGTTGAAATGATAACAAATTTTCCATTAAGATTTTAACGATACTGCATAAAAACCCTTTTTCAATAGAGCCACTTATATTCTCCCGCTGTATCATTACATATCTAAATATTGTCTATAAAAAAGTAAAAGGTAAAAAAAAAGACATAAAAGCTAAAAAATCATCATATATTTATTTTTTCAGAAAAAATGTACATGTGACATGAAACAAAATACCCAACAGAGATCCAAACCTTTATCCTAATTCGTATTTGTTCAATGAATGTTTAATTTATTACAAAACTATGTACATAAGTGACATCATAGATAAAAAAACATTTATATACACGTAGATAAGGCTTAGAATATATGAGAGATCATTGTTAAATAATTACATGTATGTATTTAAATAGAGCTTTATTTTAATCTTATATTAATAATGACTCATTTTATTCTGCTGTATTCATCAATTTCGAGCCCGCTTCCTCCACTGCAACCAGGAGGGGTATAATATGAACAAATTTGGCGGCAACCTTGGTTATCAACTTATCACACATGAATCCGAACCATTTGGTTTTCGCAAACAATGAAAGCCAATATTTTAATGTTTCACATATTCAAATAAAAAGACAAGAGGGCCATGATGGCCCTGAGGTCGCTCACCTGTATAAAGGCCCCCCAAACCCCCAATTGACCCAGGGCTTTTATTTGAACAAACTTGGTAGACACTTATTAGAACATGTTATATGCTAAATATCTTAGCTCTAACTCTTTTGGTTCTTTAAAAGAAGATTTTTTAAGTTTTTACTATATGCATATAGGGAAAATCAATGACCCCCCAGGGCGGGGCCAATTTTAACCCCAGGGCTTTTATTTAAACAAACTTGGTAGACACCTATTAGAACATGTCTGATGCTAAATATCTTAGCCATAGCTCTTTGAGTTATTTAAAAGAAGATTTTTTAAGTTTTTACTATATGTATATAGGGAAAATCAATGACCCCCCGGGGCGGGGCCAATTTTGACCCCAGGGCTTTTATTTAAACAAACTTGGTAGACACCTATTAGAACATGTTTGATGCTAAATATCTTAGCTCTAACTCTTTTGGTTCTTTAAAAGAAGATTTTTTAAGTTTTTACTATATGCATATAGGGTTAATCAATGACCACCTTGGGCGGGGCCAATTTTGACCCCAGGGCTTTTATTTGAACAAACTTGGTAGACACCTATTAGAACATGTTTGATGCTCAATATCTTAGCCATAGCTCTTTGAGTTCTTTAAAAGAAGATTTTTTAAGTTTTTACTATATGCATATAGGGAAAATCAATGACCCCCCGGGGTGGGGCCAATTTTGACCCCAGGGCTTTTATTTGAACAAACTTGGTAGAAACCCATTAGAACATGTTTGATGCTAAATATCTTAGCTCTAGCTCTTTGGGTTCTTTAAAAGAAGATTTTTTAAGTTTTTACTATATGCATATAGGGAAAATCAATGACCCCCCGGGGCGGGGCCAATTTTGACCCCTGGGCTTTTATTTGAACAAACTTGGTAGACACTCACTAGAAGATGTTTCATGCCAAATATCTAAGCTTTAGCTCTTATGGTTTTTTAAAAGAAGATATTTAAAGTTTTTTCTTTCGGTTGCCATGGCAACCAGAGTTCTGCATGGAATTAAATTCTTTGAACAATTTTTAAAGGTGACCACCAAAGGAACATTCCTGTGAAGTTTGGATGAAATTGGCTTAGTGGTTTATGAGGAGATGTCATTTAAAGTAAAAGTTTACGGACGGACGACGGACGGACGACGGACGGACGGACGGACGACGGACGGACGCCGGACGAAAAGCGATCACAAAAGCTCACCCTGTCACTTTGTGACAGGTGAGCTAAAAAAGGAGAGCGGTGACCGAGTGGTTAAGGTGTCTGCCTCTCAACCCAGAGATCATGTTGAGTGATATGTTGAAACCAAATAAAAAGAATGTATTGTATTGGTAAAAAGCTCCATAATTAAAAATGAAAGAAAGTTAAACACCTCAGGAATTCAACATTAAGAAAAGAAAGTTTCAATTTACAATATCAAATATTGATTTTTGTTCTTAATTTTAAGCAGTATCGGGAGGTTCCCGATTCGAGTCAGTTCTTTACTTAGAAAAATAAATAAAAATGGACGAAAAAGTACATTCATATAATTTCATAATCATAATCAATTCTTCTGAAAAGTAAAGAATGGATATTGTTTGCTACATCACACACTGTAGGTAAGAACAAATGATATAATGTCCATCACTTGAACAACTCTTGTTCATGCTACAAATATGTTTTTCTACATTATTTAGCAAACGAGATCACGTGATTATACGTCTAAACTTAAAGCTCTGAATAATGCATTGCTATTGAATTTCTGTATAGAAACCGTTGAATTGATAGATTTTGTGTTATGATATAACAAATCAACGCCGACACGGAAACAGACGGGAAATGCCGAGAAATGCCGGAAAATGAGTATTACCTCAAACGACATGCGATATGACGCAAACCTAAGGTATATTATACACATCGACTGTCAGTCTCATTACATACTTAATAACTTTTACATATATACAATCTCCGCCGACAGCGTTCCAGATGAAAAGCAAAAGAATAACTGTACACGATCTGTCCACGTGTATTGCCACGAAACTATCAGTGAGCACTGCAAACGGAATGAATATAACACAAAATCCTCGTAGGAACTCAACAAGTCCACACTTAATTTCACAGTCTCTTTCATATTCTAAGTATCACTTATTCGTGACTTATTTATAACAGCTTAAGATGTCTAGGCACCGTGTTATACGAAACTACCGACGACAGAAAAGAGGAATTTTCCACGATTTCACTGCCGAGTATAACGATAAATGTGAAATTATCATGATTGCCAACAAAGTGTTACTATTTCACTAGGCACGATCATGTTAAATTGCAGGTTCAAAATTGAGCGTTAAAATTATTTTGTTATATCCTTCCAGAAATTCTTTAAGAACAATTATGGAATATTCCAAAATTCAAATTGCGGAACATGCTTCTCACACGTGTAAAGTTATCTATTCCGAATTGTTGATTATTTGGGTTAAAAAAAATGTAAATGTATGTACATGTAGTATGCTCAAAGCTAAACACTCATTAATCATTGGTCTACTTTATCATTCACTGACCAATCAGAACGTTGCCATTATCTTCAATATACACATTAGCCAATCAGCATTTCGTATACATAAGCCAACCATTGCATCAGTACATATTAGCCAATCAGCGCGCTGTTATCTCGAAAACATCATGGAACTCTAACATAAAATCTCACTTTTCAAGCCGTCCTTTTTTAATTTTGGGCTCATTTTAGGAGTTTTATTACCTTTATCATTTTTGCAGTCAGCATTGGTAAGGGAATCATTGCATGCTAATATAACAATGTCCACTTGATCACGTTTCGATGTATGTTTAAATGAACCAAACCTGTTAACAATCAGATCTTTATAAATTCTGAACATTAGTTTCACGCGTTCCCCGCTTTTATTTTAGATAATCCCGAAACGTTCTAAATGTTTGCGAATGATCAAAGTTCGACAACCATCCAAAACTCTCTGAATATTATTGGTGTCAACTGCGCATGTGTAGAAATATTCGCAGCTGTGGTTTTGGTGCCAATCCTTATTGATTACCTGTACCGAAGGTTTCAACACGATATCTCCTTTCACAATTTTCTGAAACGTAAAAATATTACAAAATATAGGGTAATATGGTGAAAGTGAGAAAATAATTTGTAACACGGTGTATTTTGTCCGAGAAAATTGTGCTGTTTATTAATATATAGGTTATATAGATATGACACTGATTTTCTTTCATTAGATTAAGAAGATGAAAATATCTGGTGTGCATATGTATTTAGAAATTGATATCACAGAGATTCACAGTAATAGGAGTGGCAACACGTGCTTTTTACTAGAAATACCGATTCATACGCTAATAAATATAGTCCCCGCATCATTAATGCTCAAGCCAGTTTTACAGACCGAAATGTCTTGAGCATAACAGCTAATGGTGGTCTGTTATAAACTATACGTTAAGGTAGACTAGTTTTTATGTTCTTCTGTCGCAAGGACGAAATTGCAAAGTCTGTCACGACAGATTTATGCTACGGTATATATGCTATGTTTTTTTTTGTATTCTGTGTAGTTTGCATTCTATTTGTCACGACTTCTTTTTACGCCTTACTCGTAGCATGGTGAAAAGTCTAGACAGCGCCAACACGACTGCCCTTGTCATTTTTTTCATTTTTTTTCGTCCCTCCAACAAAATTCGTGCACCTTGCGTGTTACCGTCCGTCGCATTTTCGCCTTGCTAATAAAAACTTGAAAGGTGGGCATTTGTGTGGTGCGTAGGAGTGTGTGTTGGAGGGTAGCAATGCAAAAGGGTTTAAAACGCAGAAATACGACAAGGCTATGTTATTATCATACATTCTTTTTAATCATTTATTCACGAAATGCCAGAAAAAATATTTCTTTTTAGCGAGCTCGAAGAGCTGGCCCGAAGGGCCTGTTCGCAAAGCGAGCTTTACGGTAACGCGAGTTCCTGCTAGGTAGTGATGGTTTTGAAAACTTCCGTCCGAAGTACTGAATTGACACATCGCAACTTTTCGAATTACAAGATAACGATAAAAATCGAGGTATTCTGATTGAAAACGGAAGCGTAGACTGGTGTCCTTCAGACTTATATGGGCAATCTCCTACGCAGTGATCTCACCTTATAAGTACAGAGATTTCTGCCATCACAAACATTAAAATATCAATATTTTGATATCTTATATTTTTTAGCTTTTTAATTTATTTTTCATTGTTTTGTATACGTTTGATAATTTTTTGACAAAATATAACGGACGTAGGTACAAAAAGTTAAAAATAAAACAAAAGGAGAAAAATGACGTTAGATTTTCTATGTAACGGTCGATATTTACATTTGAATTTCGACGTGACGTCAGGGAGGTAATCACTGTGACGATTTTGTTATATTGGAACCATAATTGGACAAGGAACCAGAATAAACGGAAGTAGTGTATAAAATACCGAATGACTATTTTAAAACGGAAAATGTAAAATAAAAATGAACGATTTTATACTATTTCACGGTAAAAGTAAATCGAGCTCGCTTCGAGACTTTGCCTTTTTCATATTAATTCATACTTATTTATTGATTCATTTATTTCCATAAATTTTTTAATTTTACTCGGTAATTTATTTCATTTATAATTTTGTTACAAAACACAAACTTAACAAAGCATAGATACCATAAATAGATGCTTAATGTAAACTGCATTTTTTATCAGGTCCTGATTAATATCGGCTGATTTTGATCCTGATCGGGATCCTCTTCGTCTTTTTCCGTCACTTTCCGGTCTATGGTACGCATCGGCAAACTCCAGCTTTTCAGAATCTGAAAAAAAAGAAGTTAAATAAAATTCGGAAAATAGAAAATTAGTAAACACATTTTTATTACAAGTTCAATTATTCCCGAAAACGATCTAAACAAGTCCAACCTTGATGTGACAGACAAGTAATAAAAGCATCTGTCTCAAAAACATCAGGCTGTCCTCAGGTCGGACATTTACGTACTGCAGTCATATCATGTCCAACGGCCGGCAGAATAAGTGTGTTTTTTTTTCAAATAACAATTGTTGTTGCTGTTAAAAATGATAAAATTGCGTTTTAAACTATTTGCATTCGAAAACAAAGCCCTCAGTTTAATGAGATAATCATATGCCTTATAGATTAAAAGTTCATTGTGATAAATTATATTAACAATTCTATTCTATAAATTCTGTAAATCTAAAAGTCTGTAAATTTACTGGTGACCCAGTTTAAATATTACCATCTCAATTTTCTGGATAGTGTCTATAGTTCAAATAAATATAGCTTAATTTAGAATATTTGTATCATGATCAGTTAAGAGGAATAATCGTAAGTTTTCTCTTTAAATATTTACCACAATTTCCAGACAAAAACCTTCGTTTCAAACATGACATACTTTGAGGCCAAGTTGGTTGTGAAAAGTATAAAGAATGTTCAGACTATAGATGAAGATTTATTAAGCAAGTGTCTAATGAAGTTTAACGGCCTATTGGGTATACAACTTAGTGGATTTGAAAAGTAAGAATCGTTTCTTTCTTTTTTCCGCAAAAAGAACATCGCATTTAAAGAAATTCCCAAGCTCTGATAAAGGACAAATTTCACCTTAGAATATGCATACTTCGTAAACTGACATGGGATTATGTCTTTAAACAATAAATGGGTGGGAATTTAATATTATCCGTTGTTATTCATACATAGTACCCCTCATTCGCTATAATAAAAGACGGACTCCAGAATCCAAAATCCGTCGAAGACCGGAGACCGGCAACCATCAATTACTAGTCATGTGCCAGTTTTGTTGATTTCTTTTCGTTTAAGCGAAATGCGAATAAGGAAATAATCATTATGCATCGCATTCACATGACTGTTTTTTTAACAATTGAAAACCTGTGTTTGTAACATTTACATGATTCATAAGCCTCGGAAACTCACTTGATGGTGTAAACTTTTCGTAGCTGGGAAACAAATCTGGGTATTTGTCTGTGAGACAGCTAACATGGCGACCTTTCTGTACTTTTTCTGCCAACATATCCATTTTATTCATAAAAAGAAGAATTGACACGTTCTTTAAAAATCTGGAAAAAAAAGAATACAAAATAATGAAAGCAAAGATCGACAGTGGAAGGCAACGTTCATCGGACACCGGACGCACGACTATCTACCCATTAAGTAACAACGAGCCACACAGGATAGAAGAAAACTGGTCTATTAATGACTGACCAAAAATGATAAGAACTCAAGCGTTCAATCTAAGCGTTTCACAAAAGCACGTTATCAATTTATTCAATAAGTCATTATCTATATTAGGCTATTGTTATACTTTGTTATACTACTGACATAATTATGAGGGATAGCATAATATATTATAGATATTTTTAACAATATAGAAATATAGATATGCATCAAGATGACCTTCTGAATGTTATAATAATGAATATCAAGCTAAATGAATATTAAATCAATGTAATAGTAGGTTCACCAGGAACTAGATTTTGGAAAAGCTTCATTAGGGTCAGATTAATACAAATCTAAATAAAATTTGAAAACAAAATACCACAAAACATATATTTATCGAATAGTATTATTACATTCTAATTTATTCATCGGCATTAATAATCATCAATATTCAGATTTTATATGTTCATTATTAACATAGAACATAAAAAACTGCGAAATTCTATAATGTTTCAAAAGACTGTACATAATGTTGATTTAAACATATTAATTCGATATATTTACATTTTGCATGATAAACAATATTTACACAATACATTTTGGAATTAGGCATAAAGCTATGGAAGCTTTTAAGTGTCCTCCTCCTTGTTATATGTATTTAATGTTTGGTTCAAACATATTTATTCCCACAAGCATATATAATGAACATGTACTTGATGTTTGAACGTGTGTCTTAATGCAAAATATAGAGAGAAAATATGAAAGTACTATGACTGTTGCTTAATTACTTTCACAAAGTACTGGCACGGCAGTACTGAACCAAAATCTAGCATTGACATTGAACATTGGTTTTAGTTGCTGATAAAATGTATCAATGATTGCGCGTGAAACAATCACCGGGAACAAAGTATTTTCATGATTTTGGTCAACTTTCTAAAAATACACATAACAAAGCTTGACGAATGTATACGCTTTATTGATATAATTAAGGTATTGTGTCATTCCATAACGTCATAAAGGGCATTTAATGAGATATGTAAGGAAAATATTGCATAAAAAACGTGTTTCCTTAAGCTACAGTCTCACTTACATCCCGGCAGAGCCCCGGCAGAGCCCCGGCAGACGTCCGGGGTGATCCGGGAACGACCGGGGTACGACCGGGAACAACCGGGGTACATCCGTAACTCTGCCGGCAACGTCCTGGATGATCCGGGATGATCCGGGAACATCCGGCATTCGACCCCGGATGGAATAAAATATTTAATATCACCGGGATGGTCCGGGATGATCCGGGAAGGTATAGCTTTGCCGGCTTCATCCTTAGCTCTGCCGGGAACGACCGGGGTTATACCGGGAAAGCACCGTAGCTCTGCCGGCACAAACCGGGGATGATCCGGGGTATGATATAGCCGGTAGAGCTACGGTAGAGCTACGGTAGAGCCCCGGTATATGCCGGCAGAGCCCCGGTAACTACAGGCAGAGCCCCGGAGGATAAAGGTAGAGCTACGGTTGATCCCGGTAGAGCCCCGGCAAAGCCCGGATCATTTCAAAAGAATAACGACAATTTGCGATGATTGCACTTGTTTGTATTAAAAGCCTTCCCATTTCCCTTCTATCCAGTATAGCATAAGGATTTTTCAGAAAATCATCATGAATTACTATTCTGGAACAATAGATATTATATTAAATAAAAAATATGTATCAATGTTATCATTTTCGGGAGTTTTCAATCCACCGGGGTTCTACCGGGGCTCTGCCTGGATCGTCCTGGGCTCTGTCGGGGCTCTGCCTGGATCGACCGGGCTCTGCCTGGTCAACCGGGGCTCTTCCGGCGTCATCCGGGAACGACCGGGGAAGCACCGGCATGAACCGTAGCTTCACCTGGGCTCTGCCTGGATGATCCGGAGCGCATCCTGGGTGGTTAGTAGGGAACTACCGTAGTGCTGCCGGGGTAAGTGTGACGCGCAACAATAATTTCATCCCGGACCGTCCCGGACCATCCCGGTAACTTACCGGGATGGTCCTGGGCTCTGCCGGGAGTAAGTGAGACCGAGGCTTTATAGCTAGGACAGATACATGCCGCTGTTATACTCGTACAGATTATTTAATCACCAAGAAAAAAATGCACGTATACAAATATAACATGTGAATATTTGATTAGAAAAATAAACATTGTCTTAGATAAATGACGATAAAGATTCTGAAAAAAGCAGGTATTCGATTGTCTTTCCCGTCGCCTTTCCGGAACCAGCCGGATAAAACTGGCTTTATTTGTATGAAATCATTGATCAAAACGTTATATAAATTTAACAACGTTACGTGAAATTGAGAGCCATTTGATGCGATTTTGATATGTCGGTAACACATTAAAAGACCACCTGAAGTTATACTAATGGCAGAGGATAATATGACTTCACACAGATTCGTGATTAAGGCAACTTTGTGTTTACTTCTTAACAATGAAATTACATAATCAGACTGTTAAACAATTAATTTCCCCTGACATTGTCCCAGATTCCGGACAAAAGAAAGATATTCTAGATATAAAGACACAAATACTTAATGTTCATAGAAAACATTGGAGCAAAAGTTACATTAATAATGTTTGACGTTATTATAGAATCATTGTCTCCTAAATTCAATGTTTCGTATATCTCGAATTCTTCATTTCCTAGAGACAATGGTTCATATATCTCTATATTTCATTTCCTAGAGACAATAATTCGTATATCTTGAATATTTCATATCCTAGAGACAAGGATTCGTGTATCTCGAATATTTCATATCCTTGAGGCAAGGATTCGTATATCTCGTATATTTCATCTCCTAGAGACAATGATTCATATATCTCGAATATTTCATCTCCTAGAGACAATGATTCCTATATCTCGAATAGTTCATCTCCTAGAGACAATGATTCGTACATCTCGACTATTTCATCTCCTAGATTCAATAATTCGTATATCTCGACTACTTCATCTCCTGGATACAATGATTCGTTTATCTCGAATATTTCATCTCATAGAGACAATGATTCGTATATCTAGAATATTTCATCTCCTAGAGACAATGATTCGTGTATCTCGAATATTTTTGTCCAGCATAGTGAAGTAACAGCACTTTCTTCCGCTCTTTTTGGGGTCAATGCTAAGTCATGTGAACAAGTTAAGTTTTCCAGTTTCGTCACTTATTTTGTCCATCTTGTAGCTTTTGGACGATGCCCTAGCCTCTGACAATGACGATGAGGCTTAACAACGATACTTAACAGCGAAAAATAATGATTTGCTATGTATTTATTAGAATATTGAAATGAAAAAGAGGCTAAATGGAGTATAGCAGTGATTTGATATAGATTGTTTGGACTCGAGAAATAAAAACGAGGCTAAATGGATAAAACTGTACAAAACTGTATATAATAATTTATTACCCTTCCAGATTTTTTCCGCCTTTTTGATTGGTTATTGATCACCCGAAAGAAATTGATATTACCGAGCCAGACGGGTAATATACACACTAAATTTCCCCGTTTGGTACCCCACGTTGTAAACAACATGCGCTGAGGTGATGCGCGTATGGTTCGATTTTACGCGGCGTAAATTCCGATTTACAAACACTTTTTAACTGTCAAATGATAAATATTTACCAAAGTAAAGTAATGACACATATTCTCATCAGTATTGAAAACAAATATGACCTTGTGAAAGCTTGATATTAATTACAAAAAAGTGCGTTCAATAGATTACTCCTTTTCTCTTGTTTACATTCGTTAGGTACGGGAAAAAAAAAGTCAGTAATTTTTTTGAGTCATGGGCGGGTGATATAAAATCTTAGCAGGGAAAATCCCCATATATTTACTTTCCCAAAAACCCAAAAAACCCTATAATACTTGCATTTGGGGAAACTTTATTTTAAAAACCGGGTTTTAAATTTTAATCTAAACCCTCCCTATTTTTTATTTGAAAATTTTCCCCTTTTTTTCCCGCTTTCCCCAAAAATTTCCAAGGCTTAAAAAATCGGTTTTTTTTTTCCCGGGTCTTCTCGCAATGGGTTTTTCGTAGGCTACTTTCAGTCGGGAAGAAAAAAAATTTCGGGCAAATGGGCAAAAGCTTGGGTCCCCTTTTTCCCTTCCCCTTTTCTGACCCCCTACGTTTAAACCCCATGGAAACAAATATGAAAACCCTTTTTAAAATACCCCTTACAAAAGGGAATTTAAAAAATGAAAAAAGTTCATTTAAATTAAAAAAAAAAGGAAAAGAACTATCTAAGATGAAAAAACAATCTTGAAATGTCATCATGTTTATAGTAAAAACAAAGTCAATTATTTTCCCCGTAAACTTCCTATGAATTGTTGACTGTTCAAATATTAAGCCGTTTCTATTGTACTAAGCTGCATCAATATGGAATGTTAACGTGACAATTAAAACACATTGAACCATAAATAGTTTTTTTTCTTGGCGCTTTATTAAAGAAACGTTTCCGGAACGAGGTGTATTTATGAACTAAGTAAACACAATTAGACGTGAGTCAATCAAACAGCTTAAGAAACTTCCTGTTAAAATATAAATCAAAATATTTGCTTCACCGTGTATTACTAAAAATCAATCTGATCTTCTCGGCAATAGATGCCGACATATTGGAACCATTTTATGTCACATGCCTCCATGTGCTAAAAGTGACAGGGAAATTTCTTTTATACAGTGGGAGAAAAAGTAGTCGGCATAGACAAAGTTTGCAGAAATTGATGCGAAAGTTGCCTTTTTTGGCCAATTTGATTTAAAAACGTCCTATAGCCCAGGGCGGGGCGGAAATTGGGTTGCTTTTTTCCGTGGTTTCCCCATCGGGGGCAACTTATCCAAGAATACGGGGGGAAAAACCCATCTTTTGGGAGTTAACAACATTAAAACTATTATGGGTTTTTTGGGTTTAACACATTTTTTTGAAAAAATTTTAGGGGAAAAAAAAAAAATCAAAACGAAAAATGCATCGAAGCTATTTAGGGTTTTTGAAAAATCTACCCCGGGTTTCCATTTTGAGAACGGGGTCCTTTGGGAAATTTTGCTTACTTTAATTTCTTTCTAAAAGTTTGGGGAAAAGAAAATTATTTACTAAATGAACAGGATGGGCCACATTTTTAACCTCAAATTCTATTGTTGAATACTAGTAGTTAACACTCTACAGCGGAGAATATCCTGGTCCGACGGTATATAGTCCGCTTGACGTATCTCGGTCAAGTTATCTAAAAAACTAAACAAGCATATGTATTATAAAATTGTTCCATTCTGATTCCAAGTTTTAGAAATGATACATAAAACTAAAAAAGAATCTACTCATTTCAAATGCTCGAAAAAAATCTTCTTGCAATTTTTAGCATACGTCGATTTATTTGAGCAGTTTAAAACGTTGTTGTTGGTTTTTGTTTTTTTTCTTATAAGAGGTAAACGATTGCATGCCAAACTAACAAGTAAACTTGTAGATCTATTTTTGGAAAACATTGGTACTGCGCTCAAGAATACAGTTCGTACCTATCAACAAGCGCCTCGTTTATGTGACGATAAGAATTAGTGGTGTTTATGACAACTGTCCTTAAAATGCAAGCAAAAATAATGACATGTCTGTATGCATAGGCTCACGTCAACCGGCACGTTAGTTGGTCTTTTTAAATTTTTTAGTTAACTGAAACATCTCTAATTTAAAAAGGAAATTTTTAAATTTTAAAAAACCAAAACAAATTTTTTTCAAAATCAAGGGTGGGAAAAATTTTAAAAATTTTTGATATTCTAATCAGTATTTATGCCAAAGAGGTAAAAAAAAATTTAAAATATTTTTGGGGGATCAATGAAACTGGAAATTTTGTGTGATCTGGGGAAAAAATTTCTTTTACTCCCCCCCTTCCCTTTAAAAATTCTTTTGTGAAACAAAAATTTCTGCCCAAAAGTTTTTAAAAAAGATAGGTTTAAAAGCTATTTAAAAGTCGGGAAAATTTAAATTTTTTTTGGAAATAAGATATACTTTAAAATAAAAAGCTATCAAAAACAGAACACCATCATCATTTCATCAACAACAAAACAACAAACCCCGTTGTCATCCCCATCAAAACATTCTGTCGTTTGTCGTTGTCAACGAAACATCACTATCACAATTTCATTATAATCTTCATCGACCGACACCCAAATAATTTTGCAAAACACTGCCACTGAATTAAAATAAAAGTCAAAAATTCTCATTCAGGGCGTAAAAAAAACCCCCGCAAAAAATACATATAGATTTTTCCCTTTAAACCCAAAAGACAGAAATCCAGTCAGGAGGCTTTTGATAAAGTTGTGCATGCGACATTCTGCAACTGTCTTATTTGTACGGTGACCAGTTACCATTCAGGTAGAATACTGACGCAAACAGCGTTGCCGCAGAAGGAAGCATTATGATAAGTTGTAGTGTTGGCCTTTTGAAACAGTTTTATAAATACTTGTTACTAAAATCCCATTTCAACAGCTAATGGACAAGTAGTCAATTCTTTAAAATCCCAATTACAAATCTGGTTTTTGTCAGTCTTTTAAACTAAGGGGAAAAACATGGCCCAACATTTTGCCTATTTACAAGAAAAAATTTAATTTTGATACATTCTGGTTAAGCGCTTGTAAACCCAAATTGACCCAATTTTTTTTTGTACCGGGTTGGGGATTTCCCATGTAACTACCTCCGGTAAAATTTTTAAACATGTTAAAAGGGGGGAATATGGGGTTTACTGCAAAAGGGGGTTTCAATGAAAAAAATAATAGGGTTTAAAACAGCTGTTGATGAAAAGAAAATTTAACATTTTTTTGGTGTGCCAAGAATTTTTCTATACTTTTTGTTTTGAGTCAATGGTTTTTTCGATTAATTTGGATTGTAAAATTAAAGTTTCCCCACTAAAAGTTATCAAAACACGGTCTTTACATTTTTTTTTAGTTTGGGGTTTTTAGGGATTCTTATTTTTCTCTATTTTAAATTTGGAAAAAGAGTGGCTGTGTACATACCCCAATTTATAATAATAATTTTCCCTTTTTTCATTTTGAGGCTTAAAAATGCTTTTTTAATTGCCCTAAAAAATTTTTTTTATTGATTTCGTCCGAAATGTTTCCTTTGGGTTTTCCTGGCTCTAATCTAGGATTTAAATCAACAAGGATTGGGGGCAGTTAAAACCTCGGGGACGCTTTTGAGAAATCATTTCAGAAAATGACAAATTTCGTGTTTCTTTTTTTTGGCCCAAATTTTTTTTTTTTTCATTCATTACATACTATATGTGTGAAAAAATGAATTTGAAATTTTAAATTTTCTTTCCCTTTGGGGAAAAAAGGGGGAAAATTTTTCCATTTTTTCATTCAAAGCGCCCTGTCCGGTATATACCGGGAACACCCCGGGATTCAGGTGGTGCTCTTTAAACCTTTGTTTTGTCTCATTTTTAGGGGTAATAAACCCTTTTGGGTTCCCCTTCCCACAAAAATGGGCAGAAGGTATATTTTCAAAAAAAGGTTTGATTTTTTTTGTTTGAATTATTATTCTTTTATTCGTAAACTTACCTTGTCTACTTTTGTTTCCCTCTAATCTTTGAATAAGTGGTTTCCCTTTTTTTTTTTTAATAAAAATTTTTATTTAAATTTAAATTTAATTTTCGGGAGAACACAAAAACACCCGTTTTCTCCCAAAAATCATATTTTTTAACCCTTTTTATGATTTTAATTAGGGAAAATGCCCACATTAAAAATTTTTTCTTGATTCAATTTTTAAAATCTCATTATCATCAATACTCATCGTACTTCATCGGGTCTTGATGGTAAAGATTTTGTTTAATCCAAGAGGATATTGTTTCACAACAAATTTGTGATAGCGACAAATGTCAAACTTTTATTGGAATGCATCTTTTAAAAAAAAGGTTCTGAGAGTTGACTATAGCGAAACAAGGTTGCGGGGGTAGAATAGGACCCCTTTGTGTCGGTGAAACAAACGTAAGCACACACACTAAATGTCAGTTTAACGGTGGAAGTGTGTCAGCGAAGAAAAAATACTTTTGTTACTGTAAACTGTTCTTCTTTTAATCGTGTGATGAACAGATTATTAGTTTATTACGTTCAGTCAGCTTCATTGTACCTATACACATTCAATTTCCACCATCTAATAACCGTGTGTTACTATCGCAACACGGTGTAAACACTTACATACGGTGATACTTAATAGATATTTCGCTCTCTTTTGTAAAGACGAGTTATTCACTTTTCAAAGAATTCAGTTTCTTTTTCGATTGTCAGTACGTCAATAAGCTAGCTGATGGTCACTTTAACACACACGTTAATGATAATAAATCGTCAAAATTCTGGTCTTGTCGCCTATATTTCTTCAAGTTTACTTTCATGCCAGCATCTGTCAGTTGTATAAAGTGCTTCTGATAATTCAATGAAGGGTGTGTTTTTGTTAGATATAGAATGTAATAAAATAATGCGCCTGAAATATGTGTCATCTTTTCGTCTTACGAGATTCTCTTATTTCCAGTGACACTTCCACAATTCATATCGTTTTTAAACTATACCATCCGCGGTAGTTTAGATCATTCTGCGTCAAATACAGAAATATAACAGCGGGTGCAGTGGTCTAGTGGTAGCGTTCTTTGATTACAAACTCAGGGCTAGCAAGTTTATCCTCCGCTACACTAATAATTCTTGGGCAACTGAGGTACCGTGTAATGGTGATTAATATCTTTCTCTTAAAAGAAGCACGAGTTCCTACTATATAGAATGGAGCTGGATTCAATAAAATAGCATTACAGCCAAATCTATGAAAAAAATGTCATACCAAATATAATATTTACAGGCAAGGTGTCTTTATTTGGAGGTTAGTGTGTTCTATCTGATCAATGAAGGTTTGACGAATAGTGGTTTTTATACACAGGGTGATCTTTTTCAGTGGTGGTCTTTAACACAAGTTTTACTGTACATAAGTCTTCTGGAGTGATTCGACCTTTTATGTTTCCGGTGTCGATTATAGCTAAAGGTATCTCACACACTATGCAGGGGAAAAATATTGGACTTTTCGAGGTCCCTTTTTTATCCGGGATGGAATAAGAAGTTTTCTGTTTTAAGTAAAAATTATTTGGGAAAACGAAAATCATGGTTGTAGGAATACGTAATTTAAAATTTAATTTGAAAAATTTAAAAAAATAACAAAAAGTTTTTTACCCAGTTATCGGGGGTTTGATCCATGCTTCGTTTTAGTATATACCCAAATTTTTACTATTTTCTTTAATTTCCCCTCGATACCTTTTTGGTTTCCCTGGCACACAAAATTTAAATACAATTTCTCTTTTTTTAATTTTGTCTGATGTTTAATTTTTCTATTCTTTCCTGTAAAAAAAGAAAAAATTTTACTTAAAAAAAACTGGGATATTTTTAAACGTAAAGTTTACGGAAGGGTACTCGAGGTTCTTCCTCCACCAGTAAAGCTAGACCTAAACTGTGTTGGTGCAGCGCAAACCGAACATAGGCCCCCAAACTCCCCATCCCCACCCACACTCCCATTAAAAAACTAATTCCTACTTAAGTTCGCTATCCAGTTACCATTTTAGGCGGCAAATAGGTCCAACTGAACTTTTTCAATTAAGCACCTTGATTCTACATCCTGGTCTCATTGTAACTATTTATTACTATTTTCGTTGTTTCGTGTTATGTGTGTGTGTGTTGAGATGGCATGAACGGGCCACCATACTTTACAGTTTAAAACATTACTGATCTTCTCTGTGTGTGCTTCAAAATGTTTATTTTACATTTAAAGAGAAACTGCATAGCAATTATCACTATTTTCGAATATCAAACTTGAGCATAATATATCTCAAGGAAAACTATTCATAAAAAAATACCTGGCATTGTTTGTAGCTAAATAATTCCGGCAAAATTTTCATAACAGTTGATAAACATGTTACAATTTAATGCGTACAAAACATTCACCACAGTTTATATCTCAATTACAAACAGTGAATGTTCAACTTTCATTCGAGCAAAGATATGTTTTTACTTGACCTGCTTATAGTAATGAAATGTAGTTTCGACTTTGGAAAGAAAACTACATGTAGTATCAATGTAGAAAATTTAAATAATTCATAATTCATAGCAAGACATTACACTAACCTTTAACATGCTGGGACTGACAGTTGATAAGCCTTTGCCACCAGTATAGAGCCAGGCCAGCCTGCACACCCGTGTTGCCTGGCTAGTCTCTACAGTATACTGTTGATAGCTTTTTCATTTATTTTATTTTATTTTTTTTTGGGGGGGGGAGGGGGTGTTTGATATTTTAAAATGGACTGTTCGAAATTCTAAATAGGACGAATCCATTAAAGAATTTTCATCAGGTTAGTGGTTTAAACATTTACCTCGTTTCAAATCCGTTGATATGTATGATCTTCATCTGTTTGGTAATAGTACTTTTCCCTGATTCACCCGTTCCTGAAAAAGTGTCAAAAATAATGAATACGTGTATAATAAAAAAGCGATAATAAAGTATCTAAAAAGTAGGTTTTCTTACAAATCAATGTTTTTCCTCTTTCCGGTTCATGTTACGTATACTAAAGTATCAAATGTATGTTTACAGATCTCGATTAAAGGCGAGTGTGGCGAAAATGAACAATATATCTGTGCCGCGAATTAGCTCCCTTTGCGCATAATTTGTTACCCTTCAGTACATTTTTGTATTTTCTGATCGCAAGATCAGTAAATACATAGCTAACATCCACGGTCTAACACAAAATTTCCTAACAGTCCTAACAACGCAAAGTAGTTCTTACTCAAAACTGCTTAAAACCAGCAATTTAAAAGACAGAATAATTTTTAATGTAGACATTTAACGAATTACAGTGCATTGAAAGTTCAGATTAGTCAATAGAAATATGAGGTTACAATCACAAATTTCGCGGATGAATATCATTTTAATCAATGAAAATGCTATTTTTAGCTATGTCGATTACTGAATACTCCAGGGCGTAGTATACACATAAATCTGACTGCCGAGTAGTGGAATATATACATGTCGGACTGTTTTGGCGAGAATATTTTCGCTAAATTATTTTTATCGGTGTTATTGTTTGGTTTTATTAACCTGTCAATTACATACTGATTACACGGTCGATGCACACAATATATTAATCTTCGGTAGATTTTCGGAAAGTTCCGTGAGATGTACGTTGTACGATGGAATTTAATTTAATTTGTATCTATGAACTAAGTGTACTGATCGTTATAGCGCAATAGGGTAAAGCACGAGTTTATAATCTAAGTGTCATAGATGTTTTAAGTTCGAGACCGCGTTGGTCCATGTTTTTTTCATTCCTATAATACTTTCAACATTATTATAGCTACACATGATTATTTTTTGTGTTGTTCGTTTTGTTTTATTATGTTTTGCTTAATTTTGTAAAGTCTATACTCTTTTTAAATAACATGTTTTAAGAATTCATGTTTAAAATTAAAACGGATTAAAACCAATAAATGTCTTTTCAATGCCGTAAAACACACTACAAATCGGTTCCATTAAAATATACTGCAAAAATAAAGAGAGAGTAAAGCCTAAAAGAATTTCATCAGTAAGGATCGAACCACAGACCTCTCAATTATCAGGCATTCTCTTAACCGACTGCACTATTGCGAATTAACGAAAACCTTCACATTAAGCTGGCCTGACTTTCAAAACATGACTTATATACTCCACATTAATTCTCGTAAACTACACGGACCAAACCGAAGTGGGGTCGAATATTCAAATGAGTGCTTTAATGTATTCATAATTGACAGGTCAATAAAATCAGACAATAAACAGGTTTATCGTGAACAAAATACCTCGAAATTGATAAGGATTACAAACACAAAATGGAAATTCTCAATTTAGAATTACAATGTATTTGTTTTTATTCAGGCTTCATATGACGTATTACTTCACCGTGGTGCAGGGGTATCGCGCTCGTATCGCGCTCGTTTAGGGTGTGAGAGGCCTAAGATTCAAATCCTAGTCGAGGCAACTTTTTTTTTTGAAGTGTCTTTTTTAAGGAAGTAGCCACGATATGCAATGATAAAGTGTGGCTGTCATAAAAAAATGATTTTTGATGCAACTCTAGTCATGCAAAATTCGATATGTATCAATCTCAAACTGTTATAGAAAAAAATCTTAACGCAGTCGCTGCGTAAGATGAATTATACATGTAGTATATAAAAATAAACCTATATAGGAAAATACATACAGATAGTCAGTATGATTTAGATTGCAAAGATCAGAAAATACCACAGAGCTTGCAGCCCTTTGATTCTACTATGGTGTCGCCTGAAATGCATAACCGATCAAGATTAAAATGTATCCTTTTGTACAAAAATTTGTAATAGTTTGCGTACAAGGCAAAAAAAGAAAATGAATATCGATCAGAATGCTGTGCTCATGTCGAGCCAGTTTCACATCCCAGCTCGACATTGTAAAAAAAGACAAAAATGAATGTCGAGCTAAATGTTGTGCTGAATGTCTTGCCTGCTTCACATTCCATCTCAACAATGATAAATCGAATGTCGAACAAAATGTTTAATGTCAATCTCTGTGCCAACATCATAGACTTAAAAAAAAGAATTATTTTTAAAGACCCATTAAGCTTTAAAATGCTATCATTTTTATCTTTTAAAAGCTTTAATTTTTAGTATCCTGCATTTTGTACGTTTCGGCATTTAGTTGAATGATAGTGAATTAGTATACTGTGCTCCTCTTAGTTCACGGTACTTAATGCTTTGAAACCAGAAAGAAAACAACAAATGAATCTTATGGTACAAAAATTGTCATAAGCTATAACATATAGGTATTTTCTGCTGTATGACACAAGGAAACAACAATATATTCAGGCAAAGTCAATTTTAATGGACCAAACGTAGACCATATGTCGGCCATTTTGAAAACAGTATGTCATCATTTAAATTGCGGTAATAGTGTTATATTTCAGTTTTTTCATGTTTCAGTTAGAATTTCTACATGTTATTTTGCTTGATTTTAAATATTAAAGTTATCCATACTTTGTAACTCAAAATTTATTTTTCCAACAAACAAGAACATTTAGAAAATGATGATTGTTTCAGACGTATGCACAAATTTAACGGACTATTTTGCTTTTGGCAGAAATTTGTAATATGTTGTTTTGTTTTACATAAAAATCTAGAGATTTAATTTTTTTGCAAAAAAGCTTTGTTGTTTAGGTGTATGAATAAAATATGTCAATTCTGACCAAGTTTAACACCGGTCAATTACCGTGCATTAAGTGATGACGCGGAATTAGTGATGTTGAGTATATTTTGTATGGAAGTCAAAATACCACATTGTTTACAATTTGCTATCTATTATACGGCAGGTGACATTTCATCTTCTTGAATTCTCGGGTTCATCAACACGAATTCACGATTTCAACGTCATGAATTCACGATTTCAACTTCAGGAATTCACGATTTCAACTTCAGGAATTCACGATTTCAACTTCACGAATTCACGATTTCAACTTCAGGAATTCAAGATTTCAACTTCACGAATTCAAGATTTCAACTTTATGTATTTGAAATCGTGGATAAATGAAGCTGAAATCGTGAATGCGTGAATTCCGTATGTTGAAAACGTGAATTCACGAAGTTAAAATTGTGGATTCACGACGATAAAATCGGGAATTCATGAAGTTGAAATGTTTCCCGGTCTTACATATACTTTCACGAGCTCTTTCGAATTCATTTCTATTTTTCATCAGGTTATAAATATTTCAATTGTTCAAAGTCCATATAACAACAATATAAAACACACGTTTTCCCTTTCTACAGAAGGAAAACAAATATTTATAATCTGTGACATAATGTGCCTTTGTAATAACGCAAGTGTCTTATTCGTAAAACAGAATAAAAATATTCCGGAACAAAATGTAATGCTGCACTTTTTAATTGGTGTTTTAACTATTTGGCAATGAGTTTGTGCATGCGTCAATGGCTCCTAAGGACATATACCGACATATTTATTTCATTCAAATATTTAAGAATGTTTCTGTCTCAAAATAAGATGTCTTAGCTTTATACAGAAAGAATTTCTATAGAAACAAAAATGTTCTCTGATAGATTCCTTCGAAAATCAACCACAAGATCATGGAAACCAAAGAATTTTACAATGTTAAAGTAAAAAATGTAATTAAATATGATTTTATACCTTAAAATAAAAAAAAACAATTAGCTTTAAATCAAAATACAAGTATTCAAATTTTAGACAGAAAAAGTTCAGAAATGGTTCACAGCGCAGCTTAAATGAAAGAGAGTTATGTTGAAAATGAAAATAAAGACTTTCTTCTAAAATATTAAAAAATGTATAGGACTTACCTAATAAGAGTATTTTTAACTTTTTCATTTCCTGTCTTTGATAATCTTTAAGTACTTTAGTGATTTGCTTGTTCCTCATCTTCGCAAGCCTCGCTTCTTCTGGGCAATCATAATAAGGGTAGGCATTACCATAGCAACTGCTACCAAAACAAGCCATTACGTCCTCCTTCATTGATGTTTAACTCTGTCACAGATCAAGGTTTTAATCCACGCGATATAAAACAAGCACATATACACACCGTGAAACGTTTTGAACAATTTCACCGAAAAGGGATTCGTGGCATTTCTTGCTTATATTTCTTCCATTGCATCCACCATGACAAAACATACACAATAAATTCCAATTTTCTTATAAAAGTATCAACTTTATCCGCTGTTTCACATTGGTTATCCGGGTGAAAGAAAGAAAACAACACTGATAAGGTTCAAACGAAAAAATTCAGTAAATTTTCGTTTATATGTTAAAAGGATATTATCTTGATATGTTCTTTACTCCAAAAAAAAAACCTTTGTTCATTGAATATGATGTCCTCTCGAATAACTGTTGAAATAGAAACCGTTTGCCATAGAAACACAGGGCACTGTGTGAAGCAGTTAATATTACATTGTCACTTTCTTTCCCTGAAAATATAGATTCTCATTATTAGAAGAGAAAATGTTTAAAGGCCCACCATGCCTCAGAAATCGATATATTTTTAATTCTTCGGGAAATGTCAAATATGTGTTTTAAAGATGCACGCCTCCAGATGAGCCAAAATATTTCAAGAAATTTAATCTTAAGAAAAATTTATTAAGATCTTAAGAAAAGTAACAATATTCAATATTAAATTTATTATTTACATGTTATGTGGGATAAATGACTGATTTTGCAGTATCAATCACTATAATTATACTGCGTTACTAACGCAGTAAGATGTTTTATGTGTATTTTGAACTCTTTTTGGTAATTTACGTGAATTGTAAGTGCTGTTTGCAATTTTTGAATTACTTTCTTTGTTCACTTCACAATATTTCAACTTTCTAAATACAATGTTTTAAAATTTTCATGAAAATTAGCATGAATCTGGAGGCATGCTGCTTTTAATAATGTTACAGAGCATATAATATGTTTAACAACTGAAGAAAGAAGCACTCAGTTAGGATCAGTTATGTCTCGCTACGGTACCAGAATGTAAACAAATCAGTATTTATAGACTTCAACACAAAAATTCAAGTCAATACGATTATACTACTTGCAAATTGAAAAGGAAGAGCAAAAGATAGTTCATATATATTGTAAATGTGTGTTGTTTTTTTTTTAATTATTTTTTGTTTATTTATTCCCTTTTTTCTTTTCTTTTATTTTTTGAAACTGTATCGAGAATAAAAAATTTAGGACGTTTTTTTATACATATAAATGGTGGCATTTCGAAGGCATAATGTGACTTTAACTTAAGACGCTGTGTAGCAATGTCATTCGACCCTTTTACAAAGGAAATGAAGAACAAGCCTCCCTGTTGTTTTTTTTCTCTTTTAAATGAAATATTCAAGACCTAGTCGGGTTTACAACTGTTTAATGGACAAATGTTTGTACTTTTTCCTAAGTATAAGTTTCAGAATTGTCTTACTTCAAAGATAGCATAATAGATCTTACAAAGAAAATGCAATATGTTTGAACAAAATTATTTCTTTTTGTGTTTGTCTGTGTGTATATGATTTGTTTTATTTTGGGTTTATTGTTTTTGTTGTTGTTTTGTTTGGTGTTTTTAGGTTGTTGTTGTTGCTGCTGCTGCTGCTTTTGTTGTTGTTTGTTGTTTGTTATGGTTGTTGTTGATGATGATGTTGTTGTTGTCTTCGTCGTCGTTGTTTATGTTTTTTCGAGGTTAAGATAATAAAGATTTTTACATAATTCTAAAGAAGCAAAATAGCAGATACACGATTATTTGTTACACCCGATCTTTGAAAATATAAAACAGTTTATTGGCATGAAATACTGTTACAACACAACATCACAGTATATAAACGATTTGAACCCCAACCGGATCTTGTGAGAAGATTTTAGTGTCAGCCATATTCTGCCACTTTACTTGTTTACGATATTGGTATTATATTGATACTGATGGACGTTAGGTTAGTAAATCTATATTTATATTATAAGAGAGAAACTTTATTAAACGTCTTAGTTATGCAAAACATAAACGTTAGCACGAAGGCTATGAAATAATCGAAACTCACGAACAGCTTTCAGGTGATCAACACTGAACACGAACAAAAATCCGTCTTATTCCAATGTTGATTTAGTTAAATATTGAATTGTGATATCGAACTACTAAAGTAATCAATAACAAACGATAATTTAGTCATATGCATAACATATTGCTGTATCTTGAACATAAATTTTTAAGAGTTTTACCAAGGAGGTCATTTCCGTAAACTGAACGTTACTTGCTGGTGATTGTGAACCCTACTTGTGAGTTTACGAATTTTATCTGTACCCTGACTTGTGAGTATTTTTAAAGATTTATTGGAGAAAAAGTTTACGTTCATTGCGATTTTGTATCAATTATTGCCAGAAAATATAAATGATTGTAATAGAATTTTAGTATATAAGGTGGGATCTAAAGTATTTACCGAGAATTGGTTTAACTGATAATATTGTTAATCATTTGTTTAATAAAATATATAATGCTATGTATATTTTTCTTTCGGATCACCATGGAAGAATACAACTGCATATACTGTTCAGTAAAGACTACGAATTTCAATGCCATCATTGACCACATAATTATAATTATTCGCCATCCAGACTGCAACTTGAAAATAAGAATAAATAATGATAAACTTAAAAATGTCAGCGTCACAGCCAATAACGTAAACGAAAAAAAGAAGTTTATAACACCAATAGCTGAAACACTAACAATTAAAATTTCAAAATTTCCCGAATATTCTCCGTTTAAAAAGATGCCAAAAGTGTCGACGCCTATGAAAGATATACAAGAATAAAAGTTGTACATGTCAGAATTAAATAGAAAGTCAATGAATTTCTGAGAATATAAAACAGTGTTTAAAAAAGCAGAATGAAATCAACGGTAGGTGTAAAGCTTTCAACATGTTGAAATAAGTAATCTGCAAAAAAATCTTGTAATGATATTTCGAGGTTTATTGATACGTGACGTTATGTCAAAACTAACAACAATGCCGTTGAACTAAATATAAAAAAATTATAGTACATATGTAATATTTTAGCTTTATATCTTTCCAAAGAAAAATGAATGGTAAGTGAAAATGAGGTTTGTTAGTTAATTATTCCTATCAAGAAATAATTGACTTTCTGATTCGTAAAACAGTGAAAACATGACGAAGCTCCTCCATTCATATGCAGTTTTAGTTACTTATAATCCCCGGTCACATATTCACGGATTATGCCACGGAAGAGCTACGGTCTAATTGTTCACGGATTACTACGGAAATGTGAAATTCCGTAGTCCGCTACGGTTCCAGTACGGAAACACAACGGTATGAGTACGGAGTTCGACGGATTTACCACCGAAAGCCCCGGGATAGACACGGATTGTTACGGACTGACACGGTTTGATACGGAGCGACACGAATCAGGACGGACGCACTACGGATACACTACGGTCTGCTACGGTGTAAGCACGGGTTAGTACGAGTAAGTACGGTCTGATACGGAGAAGAACGAATTGATACGGAGAAGAACGAATAGCCACGGATCTATACGGACCTATTATATCCGTCCACAACCTCTTGCATGCTCAATTTTATAAAATGCCTCACAAGAAAAGAACACAAAAAAAAAAACGAATTGCAGAGTTCAATGATTTTGGCGGAGAGGATTCGGCCTCATCGCGTCCGATCCCCGAGACATATCAGGTCCGATTAAAGTGAATTTCTTGAACGACACCGGATCCTTAACAAGTTAGACCATGATAGCCTCATACTAAACATGAAGGGGTCTTCGTAAAAGCCCATCTCTAGTTCACCTTTTCTTACCTGATAATATATGGACTAGTAATCATAAATGAAAAATGTTGATCAATATTGCTTCTCTTTTGATTTGAAAATTTGCTGTTCATCTTACAATTACATTAATTATCGTGGATGTTTATGTTTTAAGAATATGTGAAAAGCTTGTTAATTAATCTTATTATCACTCAAGGGCCAGCGTCCGAGGCTTATGAGACACTTCGTTTTATGTACATATTTACTCAAATTTCACAATCCAATGTTTTGTAAAATATGTAACATTAAATGTTATTCAATTACTTTTGAATTGTAGTACAATTTTAATATATATTTTTTACCTCTATTCATGTCATCAAGCAGCTGGGCCACTGCTTCCGCGTTCTGAGCCATATCAATATACAATTGCAGCCAGTTAATGGCAATTATCATTTATTGAATGTTCACGCAAATATGTCTGTTTTTAACAAGAAGGTATAGCATTATTTATATACTTGGAAAATACATGATACTTATAATTTATCCATACTAAACAGTGGTGGACCGTACCATTCCGTACCGTTTCGTGATGCAACGCAATAAACCGTATAAGACCGTGCTTATCCTTGCCTCTCCGTAGTACATCGTATTACGATCGTGGCTTTCCGTGACAATGCCGTATTAATCCGTATTAAAACCGTAGCTTATACGTAGGGTTATCGTACAAATACGTAGTTATCCGTACCAAACCGTGGAAATCCTTGACAAGTTGGGGCCTACGAATCAGTACGGACTAACTACGGTTTTCTTACGGACCAGTACGTATCAGTACGGTTTAATACGGACTAGTAGGGATACGCTACGGTTGATTTTTCCGTAGCAAATTTTTGTGCATGTTCAAAAATTGTCAAGGATCGCTACGGATATAGCAGGACTACTACGAATGATTACGGTTACAATACGGAGAGCCACTGACCAGTACGGGTAGCTACGGACGATGCCGGAATTAATCCGTGGCTCTTCCGTGGGCGTTTTCCGTGAATATGTGACCGGGGTATTACATAGAACTAAAACATGTACCCTTCTCTTGTGACACAATACTTTCATATTCTGCACAATAAAATTTGGAACATACGACAAAAACACAATAAAAATCATCAAAAGAGACTCGCAAGTAATGGTTCAGTGAAAACACAAGTAGGGTACAGATCATTAAAATTGTTTTAGCAAGACGGGTACAGTTATCAGAAATGTCGCCTCTATTATTTACTATGTTTTATCAATATTTAAAGATATTTTCACAAGTGTCTGTCCGGTAACATGAGGTTTTAAAAGACAATAAATTAATTAAAGATTCAGATATGAGTTATAGTGAAGTAAAACAATTTTAGGCATACATTTGGTTGTGTAATCGGCGTGTGTTGACATAAACAAAACATGAGGCGAAGAGCACAGCGTTTTATGCACAAATATTTTACGAAGAAGGTTATGGATGTATATTTAAGCAAAGATTAATTATTTCTTAATATGATTCAAATGTTAACATACCGTAACATATTAAAATCAAGCCGATTTTTATTAGTTTAATGTGTCATTACGCCTGATTGTACGTTTAGATGCTGAGATCTTCTCACAAGATCCGGTTGGGGTTCAAATCGTTTATATACTGTGAACATTAT